TTCAAATCGGTTAACCCGTTTCTGAGATTAGCGCGCACAAACATATAGACTAACGGGTAAAGATTCTAAAAATAATTGTTTTGGATTCTATTGCGTTCATAAAGCCTAGCCTTATAATAGGTTTTCTTATATATCTTCCATGTTGTGTTTCGGTTTGAAGGGTGAGATATGGCGTGAATTTATATAGTACAGAGGAATAACACCTGAGTCCTCAGGAATGACAACGCATGGGGGGTATCATGGGCGAAACAGTATACTCTGTTATGTCCATGGTACTGCTCATGTCTATAGGCGACGGTTACCACTTTCCATCAGGCGGACTGTCAGCTTGTTTGCCATTCTAAGTTGTATAAAAAAATCAGAAACAATAGGAAGCGGTTATAACTGCGATCACTTCGCATCCCATGTCATCGACGAATGACAGTGATATTTCTTAATCAGGGAGTCACAAGTTGATCACCAATTTGAAAAATATCTAAACCAGCCTTTCCCAAAGTGGACGATAACACTCCAGGCCTAAAAGGAGGCGGTAAGAGTGGACGCTGCAGGCCTAAAAGAGGGCGGTAAGAAACCCAAAAAAAATGGGAGCGTTATGTAGAGGCTTGGGGGTGATTTATCTTGAAGTAATAGTGATTTTTAAGTAGGTGAAAAAATGGGGACGCTAAAAAATAATTTACTCTCAATGTGGGTAGTACACAAAATAAGTTTGGGAACCCTTGATCTAAACCAATGATTTCCAAGATTTTGTGGACATCCACTCACTTTAGAAAAAGTTGTCGTCGATGACTTCCAGAGACCGCATACAGTTTGATCTGACAGCTGTGGGGTCGCTAGTCCCCATTATCAACAATCTCTGCCTCCAACTGTTGAACGAACAGTGTTGAATTCTTAAGTGTTAAGTAGTAAATACTTAGTAATATAATTAAGATAAAACACATGAAGGTTCAACAATAATATGCCAACATGTTTCACCACAAGTTGTCGCAGTCGACCATTGACCTCAGGAGTCTGACTCCGCCGCAGGACAAGTACTTGCATATAATGATGAGCCGTGTCGACCTTTTTGCTATTCGAGTATTTTGTTATTCGTTTCAAAAATAATCGAATCCTGACTCGAGCAAGTACTCAAATATTTGTTTAGGAATTCAAGTACTGGAGTAGTGTCTTAAATGGCTTCTGAAGTTTACTTCTTTAGAAATCTATCCGATTCTAGAATAAAGGTATACGGGTATGCGACCCCGGTGGCCCGAGTCGCTGCAGTGTCAGTCCTTTCCAAAACTGTAGTGTTCCCCCTTTCTTTTCCCATATAAGTCCCTTTATTCCTTACTTACTTATCAATTTCCTTTACGCATTTCCAACGTTCGCTTCCTTTTTTCCTCAATCCTTACCTTCATACCGTAGGTGGCGGAAACCATTAACAAATGCATTCCCAAAGAGGGATGACATCAGGCAGGCGGCCGATCGTTAAACTATAAGCCAAATCTTCTTGTAATATGATTAAAAAAAAATCATATTACGCCAACCCCAAATAATAATAGGGATAAGGGTAGAAAAATTATGACTTTAAATAAAAAAAAATTACACTCACTAATAATTGTTAATAAATTTTATATCGTCTTATAAGTTTTCATTTAGTAATTAAGAAAAAATGAAATAATGAACCGAACATTCGAGTACCTCAAATACTGGAAACACATATTCGGGTATCGTGTATCCCAATTCTATAAATTCTGTACGTTTCCTCTTCTGGTGTACAATTTTATATACTCGAATTCTAGTAGGTATTCGAGTCAGTACTCGAGTCAGCCTGACTCGGTACGTCACTACCTACGTGGGCTGGGTGCAGGTCACCAGTTCACATATTGATAATTTACAAAACATGCAATATATGTATGTCTATATCTACTTGAATTTATTTATTGTAAATTTAAGTTTAAAATCATTGCCTTTCGCGTCCATATTTTTTTTAATGGGTGATAATGGAATGGTAACCCCGCCTGCGCTATCGGTATACGCTGGCGGGGCACCAGTGAGGGATGATAGGTGACAATGAAAGAGGTTAGTTAGCCCATTGTGACGAATGTCACTAGAATTAACCACAATGGTTTCCAGGAGGAACCGCGTTGAGGTCGACCTGATAGGGTGTGGCTAGCAATGGTCCAGTTAGACCCGTCACTAACAATCCCTTTCCCCCCGCGTCCATATATTATACTAGTGAACCAGTCCGCCTTCACACGGGTAGATAAAATTTTCAAAAATAATGTATAACCTATGATACTTACAGATAATGTAGATCTATAGGTGAAAAATTTTAAAATCGAATTCTGTATGTATCTAAATAATGACCGATAATAAAAACGGATGAATGTCGAATACTTGTGGCAGCGATTCGAATATTTTGATATATGTAGGAGTCATGAGGAATGACAGAAGAAGAGGAATAAGTAGGTCAAAAGTTGCACCAGTAACAGAGAAATTGCGAAGTAATAGATTTTTCTCAAACATGTTTGGAAATGTAAGCATTATTTTCACAATCTTCTTCGAGATAAATCAAAATTGCCGTACTGGCCAGACACATGCGGGCAGCGGCCGGCAAAAGTTGTATGAAAATCCATATCTGCCGTGTTTTGCGGCCAGATAAATTACTATATAAACTCATATCTGTCCTGTTATTTAAAAATGGAATGACCTTTTACTTCGAAACATGGCTACCAAGGAGGTAACTAATAAAAGGTTTTATTTAAATTTCGAACTTTATGGCGCGTGAAAAATTATTATTATTCGTTTTTCGTCATTGAACTTAAAAAATAAAATTGTGTTTTTGATTTCCGCGCATTGTTTGAGAAAAGTACTATACAAGCCTTGGCCACAACTAGGCATTGATGGACTCATGTATGTGTGCCTCGGCTGCGCCTTGGCCCACATTTGCACGTTCGTCCATCAATGCCTCAGTTGCTGACCGCTGCAGTAATGTACTATTTTTTAATGTACGAGTATGATTATAGAACGGTAGCTCCGTTTGCGCTAACGTTATACGAATTACGTACGTTATATTTAAATTTACGATGCTAAGAATTTGACAATTAAGTACAGAAACCTCTCGAGCAATAATAACTTCTATTTTTTCCCAAAGATATTTAAATCTTTCAGTGATTTTAATTCTTTAGGTAACTTATTAAATAACACCACCGCTTGGTTTCGTGAACAATATTCAATTTATTTATTTAACTCTTTATTGCACCATAAATAAAAATATACAATGACAAGTGAATAATTCAAGTGAAATACAGTAACATAAATACAAATTGAAATATACACATAAAGGTACAAAAGGCGGTCTTATCGCTAGGGCAATCTCTTACAGATAAACTTTGGTTAAAGGAGAACAGATGTTGTTGTACTATGTTAAATATTGGTATAATAACCTTTTGTAAATCCATTGAATGTGGAAGATGCGAAAGAGGTTTGTTTGAATCGATGCATTTGGCGTTCTATTGTTTCTGCCTACCCTAATGGGAGACAGGCGTGACAAATATTTATACATGTATGTATGTAAATCCATCCTTCTTTTAATTAATCTTTGTTTCATACTACCCTCTGATTCATATAAATGTCTATTTTTAATTAAATCTGTTAACAGAATATGACTATACAGGCTTGGAACAGTTAGTATTTTTAGTCATTTAAAATGTCCTGCACGATTCCCATGGAGGAATATAAACCATGGCCATAATGGTTCTCTTTTGTGCTATAAATGCTTTATTTTTATATTCTCTTTATAATATGATTATAGACAAGTGGATACTTTATGAGTAGCAATTGTGTTACCTACACAATGTTTATAAAGGTTGGTCGTGGGTAGACTAAACCCAGTAATGTTAATCATATTAAGCAATTTCTCAATGAGCATTATTAAATTAAGAACGTTTTTTTCTCGGGTAAACACAAAATTTTACTAGTAAATAATGAATAAATAAATGTATGAAAATTTATTTTAATAATACACAACACTTACATATACCTAAAGAAAGTAACATAACAACATAAAAAAAAATATAGAAAAAATAAAGTTTATATTTATATATAAATATCTTTCTTTTCTCAATGTTCTCTACCCAAAGGTTGTCTGGAAGAGATTGCTTAGCGATAAGGCCGCCTTTTGTATCATTTCTTATTACAGTTAAATGTATTTACTATTTTATAAATGGTGCAATAAAGTGTACATAAATAAATAAAGTGTAGTCGAATTCAGTCGGTGTTGTGGAAATAAAAAAGGATGCTAATTCAGCTTAAAGTTCCTGCAGAAGCAGTAACGCTGATTTTCAATTAGCACCTCAGTAACTTAATGATAGGTGAGGATAAAATCAGGTTAGCTCATTGTGACGAATTCACCAGGAAATACCACCATAGTTTCCGGGCCAAAAAGAGGTCGTTCTGATTGGATATATTCGTCAAAATGGGGCTATTTTTTTATTAGAAGACAATGAAATGATAACTCGCCTACATTAACGGTATACGCTGGCGGGACGTCAGTGAGGGATGACAGGTGAGATGAAAAAGCAGGTCAGTTAGCCTGTTGTGAAAAATACACCGAGAATTCAGCACGATGGTTTCCACGTGGAGATCGACCTGATAAGGTATATTGCTAGCAATTGGACTGGTAATCCTCATTACTAACAATACCTTCCTCTCAACAATGAGCTATTAGACTACAAAAAGCACATACCCTCTCGTATCCTATAATAGGGGATTATGCCACCTAGGTGTCTAGGACTCACATTTCCATTTTAGGTTGTGTTACAACCTCACTCTGTAATTTCATAAATATATGAACATATAATATAACTATAACTTGGTGCTCATCTAGAACACCAAGGGCATCACAGTACATTCCTTCATGTCCAATGCTTTGTGTATATGAGGTAACGACGGTGTTCACTTTCCATCAAGTTGGCCGTAAACTTTACCATTCCATGTCTAATTAAAAAGATCTGTTTCAGATCGGCTGCGAATCCCAGGCCAAATATGTGGGTCGCAACAACGAAGCGGGCGTGGATTTGAACCGCGACTTCCCCGACCAGTTCGATAAGGACCGAGCCAACACGGACGAGTACTTGTACAAGAACAGGCAGCCGGAGACGCGGGCCCTCATCAAGTGGGTGCTGGGCAAGCAGTTCGTGTTGTCTGGAAACTTGCACGGGGGCGCTGTCGTTGCTTCGTACCCGTACGACGATTCAGTGTACGTACTCCAAAAATATGTTTCTTAGAATTTCATTTTTTTTAAATTGTTCCCTCATCCAACAGGAAAACTTGAGGCGAAAGGGATTGTTAGTAATGGGGTCAAATAGAATGAATGACAATATTATTGACAACCGCTCCTGTATAGTATTTATATACCTTACTATGGTATGCAGGTTGTAGTGGATGTAAAGTCCAAAGGCACTTAGTAATATTGATTGTTTATTATTTTAAACTATATACAAAGTGACGACGTGTTTATACGTGCTGAGTGGCGCGAGCGAGAGACCTCGAACGAACGAGTCAGAGTGAATGATTACTAAACACCGCCTGTACTAACGGTATTCGCTAGGGGGGAAGGGATTGTTAGTAATGCGGATTATCTGGACCATTGCTAACAATATACCCTTACAGGTCGACCTCCCCGTGGCCCCCCTGGAAACTATCGTGCTAAATTCTAAGTGTATTTATCACGATGGGCTAACTGGCCTGTCTTTTCATCCTCACCTGCGTATACCGTCAGCGCAGGCGGGGTTACCATTCATAAAAAAAAAACGGTATTCGCTGGCGGGGCACCAGTGAGGAATGATGGTTGAGAATGAAAAGGCAGGTCAGTTAGCCCATCGTGATCCACTTAGAATTGAACACGATGGTTTTCAGAGGGAACCGCGAGAAGTTGAACCTGAGAGGGCGTATTACTAGCAATAGGGCTACTAGTACCCATTATTAACAATCCCTTCTTCCTCCTATCTTAATGGTGTTTCATGTCTATAAGCGACACTTACTACCTACCATGTGAGACTCAGTATAACTGTCAGCATATTTCAAGTTACATAAAAGTGTGTTTAAAATATTAACCAGTTGATATGAACACCCGTGATTGCAGGACCGGCGCGGAATGCTGCGAAGAGAGTCTGTCCCCCGACAATGCGGTGTTCAAGCAGCTGGCCAACTCCTTCGCGTCCAGACACGTCGAAATGAGACGAGGAAACACTTGCCCCCCGGATAACTTCACTGATGGACTGGTGAATGGCGCCTACTGGTATGGGGTCAAAGGTATGGCCATTTTTTTTAATATTAAAAAATAAAGAAAGATGTAAAGTCATTTTGTAATAAGAGAATACCATAGAACTGCTATGAGTGTATGTATACCATCATCATTTTCCTACACATATCCCAATTATTATTTGGGGTCTGCGTAATATGTATTTTATCCATATTTTTGTTTTATCTTTTTTATTTCAAGGTTTTTATCCTGTAAGGATATGTCAGCCTCATCATACCCTAATTTTATAAAATACCTCACATACTTAAAACATTGATACATAAATATATAATACATAATGTCTTAGTAGTCTATTTTCATAAAGGGAATTATTGATACAAAAATATAGTAATTAAAGATTTTGCCATTCCGGAATGTGGTTCTGTGAGTATATTTGAAAATAAACCGATCTCCTGTCTATTGAGACTATATTTTTGTATCAATACTTCCCTTTGTGTTTTGTATTTAGTACATTCAGATATCATATGGTGAACATCATCCAATGTGTTACAAACATTTTATCCATATTACAAAAAGATTTGCCTTGTAGTTTTACGACCGGCCGCCTGCTTGACGTCTAACCAATAACGTCTTTGCCAATAACTGCTATGAACGTATATATTATGAAAAATAGCAATTGAATGACGTCATTCAGCAAATGAACAGATAAAGGATGTACCTCTTTAGTCGTGATGAATAATAGTAATCAGCCTTTAACTGTCCACTGTTGAACATAAGCCTCCCCCTTGGGGGGTTTTGCCAGTAGTTGCCACGCTTGGCAGGCGTATTGGCAACCGTAATTAGGCTTTTTTTATGGGTGAAGATGGAATGGTAGCCCCGCCTGCGCTATCGGTATACGCTGACGGGGCACCAGTGAAGGGTGTCAGGCGAGGACGAGGTCAGTTGGCCCATCGTGACAAATCCACAACGTGACAATTAACCACGATTGTTTCCAGGGGAAACCGCGCGGAGGTCGACCTGATAGGGTATATTGCTAGCAAGGGGGTTGTTGGACCCTATTACTAACAATCCCTTCCCCCCGACATTGCATATTGTATCTATGAGGACCTGAAAAATATTGGACTAAATGACTTAATAAAATGTTTTCAGTCATGAAGGATGAATGAATGTTTTCTATGTAATATATTAAAATAGACTTTTTAATCTTATTTATTTTTACAGATATTAAAATAAATATTGAAATTAATTAAAAATTATAATGGCTGTCCTAATGAATCCTTACTATCCGTACTAAATATTTTATGCACGAAAAAATATTAATTTACTCTTGCGCCACCTGCCCACTTCTATCTGTTCTCCTTTAACCAAAGGTTGTCTGTAAGAGATTGCCCTAGCGGTAAGACCGCCTTTTGTACCTTTATGTATATATTTCAATCTGTATTTATGTTACTGTATTTCACTTGAATTATTCACTTGTCATTGTATATTTTTATTTATAGTGCAATAAAGAGTTAAATAAATAAATAAATATTATAACTGTGGAAGTGAGTTTGTTTCTACGTTTGTAACCTCTCACCACCTTAACGGCTTAAAGAACTATTATAAAACTTAATATACATATATTATTAGGGATGGAGAAAAACATAGCCTACTTTTTATCCCGGACACGCGGACAAAGTCGCGAGTAAAAGCTAGTGAATCGAAAATAATTTCCAGGCGGCATGCAAGACTTCAACTACATCAACTCGAACTGCTTCGAGGTGACGTTCGAGCTGTCGTGCTGCAAATATCCGCCTCCAGACAAGCTGCCGGGCTTCTGGGCTATGAACAAGGAGCCTCTGCTCGCATACATTGAGCAGACGCATATCGGCGTCAAGGGCTTCGTGCTGGATGAAGAAGGGGAACCAATTAAGGTCAGTAGCAGTCAAAATTTCATTCATTAATTCAAAAGAAGCACAGTTTTTGGTCCCTACTTCACTATGTAAAGAGTTCGATCCTACATTAGGAACTTTTTTTCAGAAAGTTATTGAAAATCATTAGTTTTATTATTAAGCAAATAACTCGCTGAGATATTGCCTTTTTGCATCATTGTGGTACATATATTACATTTTAATATATTATGTTATATGTAAAAGTTTTATTTATTATATTTAAACTTCAATTGTGCGTGGTGGTGCACACACACACACACACACACACATATATATATATATATATATATATATATATATATATATACCATACATCCAGCACGAAGCCCTTGACGCATATCGGCGTCAAGGGCTTCGTGCTGGATGAAGAAGGGGAACCAATTAAGGTCAGTAGCAGTCAAAATTTCATTCATTAATTCAAAAGAAGCACAGTTTTTGGTCCCTACTTCACTATGTAAAGAGTTCGATCCTACATTAGGAACTTTTTTTCAGAAAGTTATTGAAAATCATTAGTTTTATTATTAAGCAAATAACTCGCTGAGATATTGCCTTTTTGCATCATTGTGGTACATATATTACATTTTAATATATTATGTTATATGTAAAAGTTTTATTTATTATATTTAAACTTCAATTGTGCGTGGTGGTGCACACACACACACACATATATATATATATATATATATATATATATATATATATATATACGAATGGGTTATAAAATCATAAAAAAACTACAGAGACAGAAAAAGTTACTGAAATTGATTAAACATTATTTTTATCTTTCTAAACCTTTTCGAAACTGAAATAATTCTGTACCGATTGCGATAATTGTTTTTGCAAACTAGATTTTTTTTATACAACTTAGAATGGCAAACAAGTTGACGGCCCACCTGATGGAAAGTGGTAACCGTCGCCTATAGACATGAGCAGTACCATGGACATAACAGAGTATACTGTTTCGCCCATGATACCCCCCATGCGTTGCCATTCCTGAGGACTGAGGACTCGGATGTTATTCCTCTGTACCCTGTAAATTCACACCATATCCCACCATTCAAACCGAAACACAGCCATGCAAAAACAACTGCTTCACGGTAGAAACACGAATGAGACAGAGGTACCCAAGCAATCGACTTTTGTACAGACTCCCTCTGGTAAAATATATGATATAATTAATAAATATAAGATAATAAAGTTAACTCCTTGTTACTCCCTTATTAATTCTGTCATAATCGGAGTTATTGTTTTTTTTTCTTTTTTTATGGAGTAACATTTTCAATTAATATTTGTTTGAAAAAGATTATATTATAAAAATTAAAATGTATGTTTCCAGGACGCTAAGATCTCCGTGGAGGGTATAAACCACACTGTGAAAACGACTGATCTGGGCGAGTACTGGAGGCTGCTGACTCCTGGAGAATACAACATCACGGCCACCGCTCAAGGGTATTTATATATCTATACTAATATTTGAAATCAAAATTATCAATTTTGCCACGATTTAAGTTAGGTTTCTTTTGTGAAACATAATCATATTTATTATATCGTCTGGAAGACATTGCTTAGCGATAAGGCCGCCTTTTGTATCACTTCTCATTAATATTTATTGTAATTATGTGTAATGTATGTAATTCTTTTCTCCTACATTCTTCACGACTCTGGAACGCGCTTCCTGACGCCATTAAGAGACTACCGACTAAACCGTCTTTCAAAAAAAACGTTCACGCTCACTTTTTATCTTTATCCGAGCAGTAAGTGCTTTATATTATTCTCAGTTTCGTGTATAATATAGTATATATCATATATGTGTAAGTATATTTGTTATTTATATATATTTATTCGTTTATATATGTAATTTTAGTATGTATGTATATCAATAATTACTAGTACCGCATTCGAGTATTCTGACACTTCCCTATGGTTGACTGGGAGAGAATGCTTTTAGCATTAAGTCTGCCATGTACACATATTTGTACTAATGAATAAATAAATATAATATATAATTATTTCAATATGTTACTATAATTATGTTACATATTTTTCACTACATCTGCTCTTCATACGCTTTGTTCTTACCTAACTGTTAGCTGGTAAAGAATGCCATATGGCATTAAGCTCGCCACTTGTACAAAGCTCTCGCCACTTGTGCAATAAAGAATAAATAAATAAATATTATTTTTTTACTTGGTGCAGTAAAGTGTAAATAATCATAATATATAAATAGTCTATATCATGTTGGCCTGTTCCATTTGTCCCTACCGATGTTTTCCCATTGGATGGTAAGAGTGGAATTTTATTCCACCTATCTCTACTGCTAGAGATGAATGGAAAATCAACTCCACTGTACACTTTGTTGTTGTTTTTTTTTATATACTACTTAGAATGGCAAACAAGATGACGGCCCACCTGATGGAAAGTGGTAACCGTCGCCTATAGACATAAGCAGTACCGTGGACATAACAGAGTATACTGTTTCGCCCATGATACCCCCCATGCGTTACCATTCCTGAGGACTCAGGTGTTATTCCTCTGTACTCAGTAAATTCACGCCATATCCCACCCTTCAAACCGAAACACAGCCATGCAAACACAACTGCTTCACGGTTGAAACACGAATGGGACAGAGGTACCCAAGCAATCGACTTTTGTACAAAGTCAAAGTCTCTACATAAATAAGTAGATAATTTTGACAGTAGTGTCAAAATTATCTATTTATTTTATCACACATAATGTTTTGTTTTTTTTTTGTAAAATATGTTAAATTATATTCATTATTAGTTCTTCTCTAGAAATCTGTCCGATTCTAGAATAACATACGGGTATACGACCCCGGCCTTCCGAGCCGCTACAGTGTCCCAGTCCTTTCCGCAACTGTAGTGTCCCCCCCCCCCTCCGCTTTCCTTTCCCGCATAAGTCCCTTATTCTTCTCATTTACAAATTTCCTTTACACATTTCCAACGTTCCCTTCTTTTTTACCTCAATCCTTTCCTCCATACCGCAGGTGACGGAAACCACCAACAAATGCATTCCCAAAGAGGGTTGACGTCAGGCAGGTGGCCGGTCGTAAAACTAAAAACCAAATCTTTTTGTAATATGGATAAAACCATATTACGCCGACCACAAATAATAATTGGGATAAGGGTAGGAAGATGACGATGTTAAATTATATAGTTTCAAGTGGTAACGTTACTGAACTTTAAATTCCAGTTACGCGCCCTCGCCAACAGTGACCGTCAAGGTTCCCGTGAACCAGACAACAGCAATGACCACCAATTTCACGTTACAACGGCGCCCGCGCACCGCTGACGGTAAGTTGCGATACGGCGGTAACTCTGCTGTCCCGCTTACACATTTATGACTATTGCTCGCTAACCTACTATTGGTTTGCATCTTGAAAGCTTAATATATATATATATATATATATATACTTTTAATTATGTCCATATATGTATAACGGGAACTCGCACTTAGTGTGAACCGAAACTCGGTGACTAAAAGCGCCGTACGCCCCCTGGCGAAGACTTCCGAATGAAGTCGAAACGATTGTCGGAAACGACAAGCATAGTAAGCTCATAAATATTTCCGTTATATATATATATAGACATCTTTAAAAAAAATTAAAAAATAATAGTATTTTAATTGTAAAAACAAAGGAATTGACTTGTATATTATATTTTCAACTGATTTTAAAAAGGAGGTTGTCATTTCGGTCGTGTTATCATGTGTTGTCATAACTCCGTCAGTTAGAAACCTATTTGGAAATTTAATTTTTATTTGAAAGGATATACTCAGAAATTTAATAAAATCTGTTCAATAGTTTAGTTTTTTAATAATATGGTTTTGTCACTACAGAAGTTGGTTTCTTTCTGCGAGTTATCTTTAATTATTGTCGACAATGCTCGACTAGTTTCAGGATCCATCCTATCCAAACCCTTAATCATGAGCGGTTGTTTTGAGAACGGATCGATTCGGTTGTTTTTACAGTTAAAATATAATTTACTAATAACGAAATTAACCATTTTTGTGTAACTATGAAATTTTAACAATAATGTATTATAATCTATTTCGATGGCACATAATGAAAAGCAAAACAAATTTAATGGAAATTTTCTTTATCACATAAATTGAATTTACAGAGTACAGAGGAATAACACCTGAGTCCTCAGGAATGGCAACGCATGGGGGGTATCATGGGCGAAACAGTATACTCTGTTATGTCTACGGTACTGCTCTTATCTATAGGCGACGGTTACCACTTTCCATCAGGTGGACCGTCAGCTTGTTTGCCATTTTACATTGTATAAAAAAAAATCAAAAATTTGTTTTTATTTTCATTATGTCCTATTAAAACAAACTGTTCTGTTTATTATAGAAAATGTTATTAAAACATTAATTCTAATATTTTTTTATTATCACTTTCGAATTATAACTGTGTGATAGCTCACCAGCCTCGATATGGCAAAGGTGCGGGTTCTATCCCCGCTCGAAACAATATATTATCAAATTTAATAATATTTTCTGTAAACACATTGGTGTTTGCATCTTTGATGTACAGGTTGAAAACGATATGTGTATAATATCTCACTTTATTACTAAATCACATAAACTGTTCTAAAATTAATGTATCTGCAAAGAAACGAGATACTGTTATATCAAAGCACTTTCTCCCACGCACAACCACTCTTTGGAATCAACTTCCAGCAGCAGTATTTCCGAACCGGTACGACAATATAACCTTCAAGAAAAGAGCATATTCCTTTTTAAAAGATTGGCAGGACACCTACGATGCCGTAGGTGTTGTGGGTGATCATGGGAGGCGGTAGTCACTTACCATCAGGTGAGGAGCATGCTCGCTTGCCCCCTGTGTTGTAAAAAAAAATTAAATAGTATATTCTTTACTGACCACATTCCAAAAAAAATGTCTTGTACAAAAGAAGGGCTTAATACTATATAGCATTCTCTTGCAGTCAGTTTTTGGCAAAACAGAAATGTAATTAGAAACGGTGAAAAATTTAAAATTGTTATGCTACTATTATATGAAATTAATTAGTTTATACTTATAATAAATCTGTAGAGAGGTCAATTCTGTACATGAAATATATTTCCAAAATAACTATCAGCGGGTGATTAGTGGTCGATACTGATGCCAAAAATGCAATCAGTAAAATTTTTGTCTCTCTGTCTGTATGTTCGTTATAAAACAAAAACTACTCGACGGATTTTAATGAAACTTGGTACAATTATTCTTCATACTCCTGGGCAGGTTATAGTATACTTTTCATCACGCTACGATCAATAGGAGCAGAGCAGTGAAGGGAAATGTTAAAAATGTCCACCGGTGCGACGCCGGGACTGGCCGCTAGTACTTAAATAGCTTTCTACTAATAAATTCTGTGAAAAATACTTCTCCATACTTATATTATATTATACATAGGATCGTTTTCACCCTGTATATTTTTATTTGTAAATATTATATCTAGCAATAAAATGTACAGAAATATTTGTATAATAAAATACATATAAAAACCGCTATCAAAGGATAGTAGTGGTGGAGGTGTAAAATAAATAAATATAAAATAAATAAATAAATAAAAAAGCATGTTGGCATCAGCACTGCTCTCTTCTCTCATAGTATGTAAGGGATCACTCACAAAAGTCTATGAATTTCTGCTACATTTCTAATTAGCAAACTTTTTGGCGACGAACTTTTTTTTTTAAACATTTATCCCCTTATTTATAAAAACTCCAAATCTCTCATAAATCTGTTTTGACTCAATAGCTCAATATTTCAGTATTTTAGCTCAATGTTTCTGTTCAATAACTGTTTTGTCTCTTTCTTTTGTATTTTTTTTTAATGGGTAATAATGGAATGGCAACCCCACCCGCGCTATCGGTATACACCGGCGGGGCACCAGTGAAGGGTGATAGATGAGAATGAAAACAGGCCAGTTAGCCCATCATGATGAATTAATCAGGAATTAACCATGATAGTTTCCAGGGAGAACCGCGAGGAGGTCGACCTGCTAACCTGATATTGCTAACAATGGGATTCTCAGTCTCCATTACTAACAATCCCTCCCCCCCCCTTTCTTTCGTATTAAACTTTCAATTTGAAAGTAAGTGACAAAACAGTGTAATAGAATAGCTTTGTAAAAGGTATTAGTTTTTATGAATAAAGGGATAAATATTTTACTGCACGCTAAAATAAATAAAGGCCGGTTTTATAATTATATATTTCATGACAGTCAAACAAAAATTGTCAATTTGTCAAAATTAAATGGTAATTGATTTGTGTTCATAGTGTAATTAGAATTATCTGCGTCTCGACTAGCTTTTAGTTTTAAATGAAATATGTATACAGTATTGCCCCAAAATAGCCAACAACTTGTTTATTGTAAAATATCTTCTATCGCACACTACTTAGAGTCCTAATTAAAAAGACAAGTTACTTGCCAGTGTTGTTATATTGAGTAATTTCATTTATGCAAATGAGTACCGCCCTCTATCGCAAACGGGGCGCAACTATTATGCAGTATACTTGTGCCAAATGTAATACAATAATTTAATTATTAAATTATTTCTGTTAATCGAAATGTCAATGAAATACTTCCATAATTTTAATATCAACAAATTGTTCTTAAATTAATTTAATTAGAATTAATACGACATATTAAATATGCCGTCTCAGTGAAGTTAACAATGAATGATACACATAAGTTATGTATTACATGTATGTGCGTGCGTGCGAGCGTGCGTGCGTGTTTGCGTACGTGCGTGCGTGCGTGCGTGCGTACAATAATTTAATTATTAAATTATTGCGTGCGTAATCGTGCGTGTCAATGCGTACTGCCATAATTTTAATGCGTCGTAAATTGTGCGTGCGTAAATTAATTAGCGTTATAACGACGTATTTGCGTATGCGTGCGTGCGTGCGTCGTGCGTGCGTGCAATGAATGATACACATGCGTTATGCGTTACGTGCGTGCGTGCGTGCGTGCGTGCGTGCGTGCGTGCGTGCGTGCGTGCGTGCGTGCGTGCGTGCGTGCGTGCGTGCGTGCGTGCGTGCGTGTGTGTGTGTGTGTGTGTGTAATTATAGGCAACTATATTTAATAGTGACATATTTTTTTTTGTCATTTTCATCTGTTTATTTATTTACTCTTTCTTTCTCTGCCAGTCAACATTTGGAAAAACAGAAAATTGTTGTGAGTGTGAGTAAATAATTACATACGTATATATCAATAATTATAGTAATACAGTATATTAACGTAACTCATTTCTTAAATTTAATATTCATCAATAGGGACTCAAAAAGTTTTTTCTCCTGAAAAAAAAAAATCATATTATCATAAAATAAAAAAAGAATTTTCGATAAAAAGAACAATCTATATATGTATCAACGGTACTAAATAATAATAAATGTGTATATGCTGTGTGGTCCCGGCATAGAATGGGCCATCTCTTCCCTTCCCGTGGATGTCATAAGAGGCGACTAAAGGAACTTAACCGTTCTTTGCATAATGGTGGAAATTTCCATCATAACATTGAATGTCCAAAAATTATATAAAAGACCAAGTTCATTTTAAATCGATCGTGTTGGGATACCTTTTTAATGTCCATTGCAGAAAAAAAACATAGCTGTCAAATTTATTTTTTTAACCATTTTTTCTTTAATTTTGAATATGAATTATATCACCTTGATTTTTTTCATCAATAAAAAAAAAAACATGCAAAGAAGGGTTAATGGTGGGTGGGCAGCAGCATCGCTCTCAAAACCTCACCAAAGCCAACTGCAATTGCCAATAAGCCTGCCAAGCGCGACAATTACTGCCAAAGCCCCCCCCCCCCCACCTCCCCAGCCTATGTTCAGCAGTAGACAGATAATGTTCTAACAGCGACGCTGTTGTTTATCCTTCAACCATTAAGTTCCCTTAGTCGCCTTACTACACCCACGGGAAAGGAAGGGGTGACGCGTTCTACGCCGAGACCACACGGCATCTGTATATGTGAATGGATCCCGTTCTATGCCGGGACCATATGGCATCTGTATATGTGAATGGTTCCGTTCTATGCCGGGATCACACGGCATCTGTATATGTGAATGGTTCCCATTCTATGCCGGGACCACACGGCATCTGTATATGTGAATTGTTTCCGTTCTATGCCGGGACCATACAGCATCTGTATATGTGAATGGTTCCCGTTCTATGCCGGGACCACACGGCATCTGTATATGTGAATGGTTGTTATTAAATTCTGATAAGTAACTATACAATAATTATATACGATCACCTCGCTAAAAGGAATTACAACATTTATTTAATAATTAATAATTTAAAAACAAATTAAATATTTATTAAGGTCTAAGTGTGACCCCAAAACAAAAAATATTGAGTATTATTGAAGAGATTATAATTAGTGCTGTAAATTATTTTCATAATTTATATAAAGCTATATTTAATTTAAAAATAATACGCCTAATTATCGTAACCATAATAGGTTCGTTGACAGTAAAATAGATATTAAAAAGAGGACACTGGTGTTGCCATATTTTTACATGTTCCATATTAATAGACTTACCATATTATTTAATAAATTTTATATATTTTAATATAATAACTACCGGTTTAATTTACGTATATCTATTACGTATATAATTAAATCGAAAAAGCTTGGCTTTAGTCGGACTTTTAATTCGATGCAGTAAACTGACAGTTCTAGTGTTGCAGGTTATTGCTTATTTATATTTATTTATATTTGTGTATATGGCGGATATTTAAAAAGCATTCTTTCCCAAAATAGGGAAGTGTCAGAATAATATAGTAATTATTGATATACATACATACTAAAATTACATATATAAACGAATAAATATATATAAATAACAAATATACTTACACATATCGTATTGCTGTATTATTTTTTTATTTATGGGCTTAAATAAAAAAAAATAATCAAGATAGGTAGATTTTTTCTTGTTCAAGAGGACAGGTGTTATTCTTCTGTACCCAGTAAGTTCACGTCATATCCCACCCTTCAAACCGAAACACAGCCATGCAAACACAACTGCTTCACGGTTGAAACACGAATGGGACAAAGGTACCCAAGCAATCGACTTTTATACAATATAAATGAATGAAGCCACCACTACTAAATTAAGTGTGGTAACATTATTTTTGAAAGTGACATTTGTTTATGTCAGTTTACTGCAACGAATTAATAGTCCGAGTTAATTCATCATGATGGGCTAACTGGCCTGTTTTCATTCTCATCTATCACCCTTCACTGGTGCTCCGCCAGCGTATCCCGTTAACGCAGGCGGGATTACCATACTATTTTCACCCATCAAAAAAAAAAAAATATGTTAACAGTCATTCGTGATATTATGATTGTTTTATTAGTTATAAAATATCACTTAATTGGCAATAATAATTTTAAGAAATTACTAAAGGCGCACAGGTTAAAAATATGTTATTACATATTAGCTAATTTAAATACGCTCAGTTACTTCTTCATTGACTGTACTTTAATATAATAAATGAACACCATTATCACAGACATAGATGGCCATAGATGACGCAAGTATCTTATGGAAACTAAACCAGTACTAAACTATTTACTGTGGTGTTGAAAAACTGCCAATATAAAGCCCTCTTCGCTGTAAAAGTTTTTTTGTAAATTATCTAAATTATCAAACTCCCAATAGATTCTTTTGGAGTTTTTTTTTTAAACTAACGCCGTTTTCGGCATTCATAAAAACGTCAAACCTGTCATAAATCTATTTTTTGCTAGTGTTTTGTCCTTTTCTTTTATCCTAAATTCTCAATTTGAGTCAAAAAGAAAGAGACGAACTAAAATAGATAGTGACAGACAAAATAAAATAGATTTGTAGGACGTTTCAGTTTTTATGAGTAAGGGTTAAAAATTGACACCCAAAGTATGTCCAGTTGCGACATCTATTTCAATCAATGTCTGTGACGATTAGTATAATATTGTAAATTTATTAAGTACTTTATTGTAAAATTTTGACTTTCATATAACGGAAAGATCGCTTTCGTGCAATGAAAACTGGTATTAATACGTAAATTAAAACAATTAACACTCTTTCAAGAGAATATTGTACATGTGATATGGAACATTTTCTCCAATAAAACATGGGTTGAAATACGACAAAATATTTCGAGTCTCCCACACTAATACCACAGTATTAAAGTACGGTATGGACACTCCCTGCCGCCCGCTACTATCTGACCTCACCCCCTCTCAGATACGCGTCAGCTACCATACTCTAATGAGATGTCTCTAGTCTAGTCACTTCAATAGTCGCCGATGTTAGAGAAGGATAGAGGATACAATATTTACGATGTATGAAGAGGATAACATCCCAGCTCAGTCCACATTGTACAATATATCGAAGCGTGAGCTTTTCCCGCGCTAACCTTAACACTGTTTAAATATTGGTGGGTCGAATATTAATTGGAAATAAAAAACGATTGTACAAAACAGAGTGAGCTCACACAGATCATAAATAATAAGGCAAACAAGCTGACGGCCCACCTGATGGAAAGTGGTAACCGTCGCCTATACACATGAGCAGTATGCACATAACAGAGTATACTGTTTCGCCCATGATACCCCCCATGCGTTGCCATTCCTGAGCATTCGGGTGTAATCCTCTGTACCCTGTAATTTCACTGCGATATCCCACCGTTCAAACCGAAACGCAGCCATGCAAACACAACTGCTTTACGGTTAAAACGTGAATAGGACAGAAGTGCTCAAGCAAACGACTTTTATACAGTCTCCCTCTGGTATCTAATAATTATTATGTTTATTCAACCCATGTTTATTTAGGGATAATGTTCCTTTAGAAGGGCAATTCTTTAAAAGATTATAAATAATTTTACGCGCCAATTTCATTGCTTGATCTAAGCAATAAAAATGAAAAAGCATAGCATTTTTCTAATCTAGTTTATAAACAATTTGTACAGAGTTGTGATGGCGTTTACCTAAAGGTTTATTATAATGGGAATAAAACTTTTGTTTACATGTACTAACTTGGCTGAGCCGTTTTAATTAACACCTGTTTATGTTATTTTTTAAATCCGAGATATATTTGCGATTGAATATTCGACTTTATTACTTCTTAATAAGACTTAAACTCATTAATACTACTTAGTTGAAGTTACAACTATTTTTAAAACTTCGTGAATATATCTTTTGTTTTTTTTTTTTGGTGTTTAATTTTTTTTTTTTATTTTTCTTTGTTTACTTTTTTTTTTTGGTGATGGTATTAATTAATTTATGACTTCTTCCACTTTATGCTTTAATGATTATCCCAATTCGTTTTTCTTTCTTCTTTTTCGTACTTTTCCTTCAAAATTGAAACTGTATATAGTCACATAAAATCACACTCTAAAACTGCATTAACACTTAAATAAAACACATTTCTTTCGATTAATAACAATATAACACTATCCAAAATACACTCTTTTATCACTAATAATATTTGCATGTATGTAAATAGTTAATAGTATAATAGGTTTTTGTATGAAATTTGAGGAAATTCTAAAAAAAACATACTACAATTAATAATTTAAAAGCAACAGCTGTATAAATTAAAAATTGTCATTTTTCATCTTTAACTCGTAAATACTTTTTTTTTTTAAAGCTACAGCTTTTTTTTTTCTTGTTCTTAATTGAAACTGCATTTTGAACTGGAAAATAAATTCACAAAAAAGTTCTATTAAAAAATACTTATAATTACGTTTATTTGAACAAGAAATTTTTTTGTTTAATTTTTTATTTAATTGTCGCGTTTCTATTGAGTTTTTTTTACATGGTACCTAGCCGTAGAAAGCATCCGCAGGTACTGCCCTTAATCTATGAACCTAGCTATAAAATAAAAAAAAAACTACATTTAAATTGAGAACATCCTGATGTCTTTTAAAAAGGTACGTTATAAGATACTCTTTATATAGTACCTAGTTAATGAACTGGTGAGTGAAGTATGAATATTGGCCATAATCTTAGACTTGCAGGGCATGTGACTTGATTGACGACTTAATTTTGTTGTAGTATATGTAAATAGCATGATATTTAAATATTTTTCAAATTGAGTACAAAATAATTATAACAACGTGTTCGAGTAGTCACTTCTAACAAAATTATTTGGTTATGAATTTTTGTTTTTAATTAAAAAAGTAATGAGTTTTAAAACATTATATTTACTTTTTTTGTCTTTGTCTTGTTATTTTATTCTATTTTTGTATTATTCGAATGAACCAATATTTCTTATACTAATTATTTTTTTTTAATTTATCTTATTACCATATCATTTTATTCTTCCACAGTGCCAGTTTTGGTTAGTTTTTTGTTTTTTATATAAAATGTAATAATAGTTCTATGTTGGTACAAAAAGTCCAAAGTCACAAAAGGTCCAAAAAGTTCTATATTAGTAGCACCTGCTATTTAAAAAAATGGTAATTTGGATTGCTCGTGTATGTCCTCTTTAAATAAAATTATTCAAAAAAAAATCTTTTCATTAATATTACTAGTTTTGCAAAATGACACTAAGAATGAATTGCGCACCATCTATTGTGACAAATATGAACTTTAAGTTCAGTCACATACAAATGTACGCTAGATGGCGTTACTGGTATTCTATGAAGTACACTGCATATAAAACCTACACACTACACACAAAAACATGATTTTGTCTTGGGGATAATCTTTAGAGCATAAGAGGACGCAGCGTGACATCGACGGCATTTCAGAGCCGGATTTTGTCCACCACAACTATCTGAAGATGGAGACCTATCTCCGAGAGCTTAACGAAAAGTATCCTGACATTACCAACTTGACGAGTATAGGGGAATCTGTCGAGGGTCGGAAACTGTACGTGTTGGAGGTGACCAGGAACCCAGGAATCCATATACCCGGTAAGTAATTACGTGGAGACATTACTCTCTGAAACCATAGCCCAGATAACTTTCATAAAGGGGTATTTTTTAATGGATAATATTGGAATGGTAGTTCTGTCTGCGCTATTGACATACACTGGCTGCGTATGAGTGAAAATAGGTGAGGATGAAATTGGTCAGTTGGTCCATCGTGATGAATTCATCAATAATCAACCACGATGATATCCAGAGAATTTTGCGGAGGTTGACCTTGTATATTACTAGCAATGGAGTATTGGAATATATATGGAAAATTCCTAAATTGGGTCCAATCTGGGTACTCTGATTTTGTCATACTTTCTTGAGCCTTCTTGCGGATTAAAAAGAACTTTCCAAATCGGTTTATAACTGACGGAGATATAACGAATAAAAAAAAATCGTAAATGTGGGTACTTGGTGGAACTGTTTACACATATTGAAATTACTAGAAAACATCTCTAAAAAATGGTATAATAAATATCTGGCCAGTAATTACTAAGCTTTTGAAAATGCCTTCAAAGTCAAAACCGGTGTCTTTAACCGACTTCTAAAAGAAGGTTCTCAGCTCGGTTGTATTTTTTTTTAAAGTTTTTTACCTTATAATTCCGTCAGTTGTAAACCGATTTAGAAATACTTTTTTTTATCTGAAAATATATACTTACAGTGTAGAAGCAATTCATTATTATAATACAATTATTTATTTATTATTCACCATAAAACTGGAAACCCATCATAATCCCCAACATGGTCCTTTGGCTCTATAGAAATTTTATCAATATCAATATCGGTTTGAAGGGTGGGATATGGCGTGAGTTTACAGGGTACAGAAGAATAACACCTGAGTCCTCAGGAATGGCAACACATGGGGAGTATCATGGGCGAAACAGTATACTCTGTTATGTGCATGGTACTGTTCATGTCTATAGGCGACGGTTACCACTTCCCATCAGGTAAGCCGTCAGCTTGTTTGCCATTCTAAGTTGTATAAAAAAAAATCAAGATCCATTCTGTAGTTTAGTTTTTAAATCAAAATAACGGGTTTGGTTGCAACTGAATTAGTTTTTTTTTTTTTTTTTATAGGATACAATCGTTATAATATAATATAAATGTCAAAATATATTAGTTACTATATTTTCTGTTGACTGTCTTAAAGTTAATTTATCCAGGGATGTTTAAAAAATAAATATATATGTATTTTTATTGCACTTGTAAGTTACATATAAAATAATGTATTTATAAATATTGTGAGCAAGGGTGGACTTATCTCTGACAGAGATCTCTTCCAGTCAACCCAGTACAGTAAGAAAGAATTTCGTTAGCGGGCAGCTGAAGTGCTACAACTATTAATACATAAACAAATATACAATTAAATAAAAAATATAATAAAATATTACATAAATACATACACTATAAATATATATAATACGTACCTACTTATATAATAAATGTTAAAAAAAAAAATTATAATAAATATTTGTAATGACAGGCAAACCCGAGTTCAAATACGTGGCCAACATGCACGGCAATGAGGTGGTCGGACGCGAATTGCTGCTGCTTCTAGCGAAGTACCTCTGTCAGCAGTACGTGGCTGGAGACGAGAGGGTGCAGCGTCTACTCAACACCACCAGGATACACCTGATGCCCACTATGAACCCTGATGGTTATGAAAGGGCAGTCGTAGGTAAGTAATTTTTTTCATAACACAGGAGGCAAACGAGCATGTGGCTCACCTGATGGTAAGTGACTACCGCCGCCCATGATCACACGTAACACCAGAAGCACTGCAGGTATGCTGCCGGCCTTTTAAAAAGGATTATGCTCTTTTCTTGAAGGTTATGATGTCGTATCGGTTCGGAAATACTGCTGCTGGAAGTTGATTCCAAAGAGTGGTTGTGCGTGGAAGAAAGTGCCTTGAAAAGCACGGTGGGGGACCGCCACTCATCCAGATGGTTGGGAGTTACTGCTCTAGTTGGTACTCCAACCACCTGGTATAATTTTCTTTGAGGGAAACAATAGAATAGAAATAAATTCTACTAAACAGGCTTATTTACAAACTCCAGTCACTTTTTTATGATTTTACCGCTCCATTCGAAATGTTGTTTTCGAGAAGTACCCGCAATAAATTAATTAATTACTCTTCTCTAGGCATGGGTAATATGGATGCCGATCTGATATCTGTATATACATATCAGCTATAACTGTCCACTGCTGAACATAAACTTCCCCCTTGGAAGGTTATGCCTGTAATTGCCATGTTTGGCAGGCGGACTGGCAACCGCAGTTTCTTTTTTATGGGTGAAAATGGAATGGTAACCCCGCCCGCGCTATCGGTATACACCGACGAGGCACCAGTGGAAGATGATAGGTGAGAATGAATGCAGGTCAGTTGGCCCATCGTGACGAATTCAACAAGAATTGTTCACGATAGTTTCCAGGGGGAACCACGTGGAGGTCGACCTAATAAGGCATATTGTTAACAATGGGGCTGTCAAACTCCATTGCTATCACTTGTTTATATATAGAATAATTTTACTATTGTAATCTTTTGGAGAAAACAATAAAGAGTATCTATCTATCCCTTTCGCCCCGCATGGGAAAGGTTATAGGTTACTTTTTAACACTATCAGTGAACATATAGCGGTCGCGCGACCCCGCGGGTAAAAATTAGTACATGATAAATATAATATTTTTTTTAATTGTAGGTGACTACAGCGGTACGAAGGGTAGATCGAACGGTCACCATGTGGATTTAAACAGGAACTTCCCGGATCAGTACGGATTGACTAAGGTATATATAGAGGGAGATATATACAGATAGAGGGAGACTTTGTACAAAAATCGTTTACTTGGGCGCCTCTGTCCCATTCGTGTTTCTACCGTGAAGCAGTTGTGTTTGCATGGCTGTGTTTCGATTTGAAGGGTGGGATATGGCAGTGAATTTACTGGGTACAGAGGAATAACACCTAAGTTTATTACATCACATCTCTATATTTTAGAAATAATAGAATTTCACCGTGCCTCCGATCAAACTGTTTATAATTACTCCTCTCCATCCAAAGGTTGCCTGGAAGAGATCTCTCTCAGCGATAAGGTCGCTCATTGTTTTCTCACTGTGATTATTTCTTGTAATTGTTTGTATTTATAATAAGTTTACTATTATAATCTTTTGGAGGAAACAATAGAGAATATCTATCTACTTTTAAATCGATTGAAAAATGTCAAATGACGTCACAAATTAAAAAAAAATCTCACACGCCCAGAGCAACGCGAACTTCGAGCCGGAGACGGAAGCGGTGATGCGGTGGTCGCAGTCGATACCGTTCGTGCTGTCCGCGAACCTGCACGGCGGCGCGCTGGTCGCCAACTACCCGTTCGACGGTAACCAGGACATGCGCGGCGGACACGAGAACCCCACGACGGACAACGATCTGTTCGTACATCTGGCGCACTTGTACTCGGACGTAAGTATGATCCGTTACCCGACTGCGGAAAAAAGGGTTATACCGTCTAAATACCATATATATTTTACCAGAGGGAGACTTTGTACAAAAGTCGATCGCTTGGGTACCTCTGTCCCATTCGTATTTCAACCGTGAAGCAGTTGTGTTTGCATGGCTGTGTTTCGGTTTGAAGGGTTGGAATATGGCGTGAATTTACTGTGTACAGAGGAACACCTGAGTCCTCAGGAATGGCAACGCATGGGGGGTATCATGGGCGAAACAGTGTACTCTATTATATCCATGGTACTCTCATGTCTTTAGGCAACGGTTACCACGTTCCATCAGGTGGGCCGTCAGCTTGTTTGCCATTCTAAGTTGTATAAAAAAAAATATTTACAGGCTCACCGCAAAATGCATTTAGCACGGCCATGCAAGGATTTGCCTAACGAGAAGTTCCCGGGCGGTATCACCAACGGCGCTAAATGGTAAGTTGTTCGATTAAACTAAATTAATATAGTGAAATAATAATAAGATGATATTACTGTTAATGGGGATTGACGTCCCCATTACTAACATAATGTACAATAATGGAATACTAATCCCGCCTACGCTATCGTATATCGACACCTCTGTACGTATATACGTTGGCAGGCTACTTAAGCCAATTCAGAATGGTTTAATTCCTAAATTGACTCGACCGTGCATCGAACCCGGGACCTCATTTATCCATAGCGATATGCCTAACTTAATGACTGCGAGTGGAAAGGGGTTGTTAGTAGTAGAGTCTAACTGCTTCATTGCTAGCAATATATCCTCTCAGGTCGACCTCCACGTAGTTCCCCCTGGAAACCATTATGTTTAATTGTCGAATTCATCATGGCAGGTCAACTGACCTGCATTCATTCTCACCTATCATCTTCCACTGGTGCCTCGTCGGTGTATACCAATAGCGCGGGCGGGGTTACCATTCCATTTTCACCTACTAAAAAAATAGCCTATCAGATCGACGTCCACGCGGTTCTCCCTAAAAATCATCGTGGTTATCATCATCGTCATCATATCAGCCTTTAACTGTCCACTGCTGAACATAAGCCTCCCCTTGGGGGGTTTTGCCAGTAGTTGTCAAGCTTGGCAGGCGGATTGGCAATCTCTGTTAGGCTTTAGAGATGTTTTAAGACAGACGCTTCTGCACATCCCTTGCCCTCCCTTAGTCGCCTCTTACGACACGTACAGAAAATCAAGGTGTGGTCTATTCTATGCGGGGATCATTGGGACGGCATTTCGTGGTTAATAATTGTTGAATTCGTCATGATGGGCCAACTGATTTGCTTCATCCTCATCTATCTGGTATCATACTGGTGCCCCGCCTGCGTATACCATTAGCGCAGGCGAGGTAACTATTTCACTTTTACATATTAAAGACTTTTTACAAAAGTCGTTTGCTTGGGCACCTCTGTCTTGTTTTTTGCTGTCGTGTTTCTACCGTGAAGCAGATATGTTTGCATGGCTGTGTTTCGGTTTGAAGGGTGGGATATGGCAGTGAATTTACAGGGTACAGAGGAATAACACCTGAGTCCTCAGCAATGGCAACGCATGGGGAACGAAACAGTGTACTCTGTTATGTCCATGTTACTGCTCATGTCTGTAGGCGACGGTTACCATTTTCCATCAGGTGGGCCGTCAGCTTGTTTGCCATTCTAAGTTGCATATAAAAAAACTTGATGATTGCACAGGTACGTGCTAGCCGGCGGTATGCAGGACTGGAACTACATGCACACTAACGACATGGAGCTGACCCTCGAGCTGGGCTGCACCAAGTTCCCGCCCGCCTCCGACCTGCCCACCTACTGGCAGGACAACAAGGAGGCCCTCCTGCAGTACATTGAACAGGTGATGAAACATTTAATATATTATCTATTTATTTATTTAAACTATATTGAACAATAAAATGTGGCAAAAAAGACAAACTTAATGCTATAGGCTAATATAATACTTTACCAGAGGGAGACTTTGTCCAAAAGTCGATTGCTTGGGTACCTCTGTCCCATTCGTGTTTCAACCGTGAAGCAGTTGTGTTTGCATAGCTGTGTTTCGGTTTGAAGGGTGGAATATGGCGTGAATTTACTGGGTACAGAGAAATAACACCTTAGTCCTCAGAAATGGCAACGCATGGAGGGTATCATGGGCGAAACAGTATACTCTGTTATGTCCATGGTACTGCTCATGTCTATAGGCGACCATTATCACTTTCCATCAGGTGGACCGTCAGCTTGTTTGCCATTCTAAGTTGTATAAAAAAAGGCATTCTCTACCAGCCAACCTTTATAATGTACAGAGGTACAAGATGGCGGTTTAAAAAATAAAATTATTTATGTTTTAGTATAATGTAGTTAATTATACACAAACATTCAAAAAATAAACATACATATTAATATAGTATTTAATCATTTGTTACATCTTCAAGTTAATACATATTTTCACTTCTTTGTGGTCAAAACTTTTTTTTTCTTGATAAATATGTGAACAAGTATAAGTAAACTGAAGTGACAGTGGGCTTTTTTTAATAGGTGATAATGGAATGGTAACCCCGCCTGCGTTATCGGTATACACCGGCGGGGCACCAGTGAGGGGTGATTGGTGAGGATGAAGCAGGTCAGTTGTCCCGTCGTGATGAATTCATCAAAAATCAACCATGATGGTTTCCAAGGGATACCGCGAGAAGGTCGATCTGATAGGGTTTATTGCTAGCAATGGGGTTGCTAATCCTTATTACTAACAATCCCTTCTTCCCCCCTATCATCCTTATTCGTGCATGAGTCTTTCGAGACTAAATATGGAAATGCCTGTACAAACAAAATGCTTACGAACCTCATCAGGTGCACAAAGGGGTACACGGGTTCGTGCACAGCCACATCGGGCACGCGCTGGCCAACGCGACCATCTCCGTGAGCGGACGTCGCCACGCGGTCCGCAGCGGACGCGACGGCGACTACTGGCGGCTGCTGCTGCCGGGCACCTACAACATCACCGCCGCCAGGGACGGGTCAGTACCACGCAACACTCAGAGTTGGGTTCAAGATATACACCACACAGCCATATTTGATTCTTGTAATTATTTATTTTAATAACAAAAACTAGCCTACATGGCTACATTAATACTGTAGGCGCATTTAAAAGGTGTCCTGTTATCCTTACGGTCCTAAGATGATGATATCCATCCTAAGATGCGAACGAGCTTCAAATTAAGGGTAAATACATGTCTGAAAGTATATAATGTACCTCTTGGCAAGCGAATTCGTCGAGTTCGTGAGATAGAATGAGATAGCAACGCCGGATGTCTTACGGACTCATTACTTTACTTTACCCACGATGTCGATTCCATCAACGTATTCGCTTGCCACTTGTCTAGAGGGCCTGGTCTCCTCTAGAGAGTAATCTATGCGTCGATGCCGGATACTTAGTCCTGTTCTTATCAACCTCAGAAGAGATTGTACTTTTTTTTATATCTCTTTTCTTTCCTCGTAACTCCATCGTGTATTAACCAATTAGGAAAAGTCTTTTATTTACTGAAATGGTTTATTTTTTTCACATTATTTTCCATAAGAATTTTAACAAAATTGATGCAATAGATATATATATACTTTTTATTGTTTTTTTTTTGATGGGTGAAAATGGTATGGTAACCCCTCCTGCGCTAAAGGGATACGCTGGCGGAGCACCATTGAAGGGTGATAGATGAGAATGAAAACAGGCCAGTTAGCTCATCATGATGAATTCATCAGGAATTAACCATGATAGTTTCCAGGGGGAACCGCGAGGAGGTCGATCTAGTTGGGTATATTGCTAGCAATGGGATTCTCAGTCTCCATTACTGACTTGGCTGTGTTTCGGTTTGAAGGGTGGGATATGGCGTGAATTTACAGGGTACAGTTGTATAAAAAAAAAAATTAACATATGGCAGACTTAACACCGGACGGTGTTCTCTACCAATCAACCATTAGGCAAACAGAAATACATAGGCATTTTTGAATAGAGAAAAAAAAATAAAGCAATATATATCTTTTAATTCCAGTTACGAATCGGTCACAGAACAGATCATTGTACCGGAGAACGGGTCGCTGAGTTACAACTTCACGCTGATGGCCGACGATCCACAGCACTGGTCCTCTGCTTACGATTTCCGGTAAGTCGCCGTGTGCCTTGTGTGAACGGTAACACAGTTCATTTCGCTTTGACACTGCAATCTCTTGGTTTAATGTTACTATATTTGTGCTTGTAATGTCATATACATATTCTATTTTTAAATACGCAATCGGGACTTGACGCGTTGTAAAAGGTTTTACAGGTACCTACATACCTACGTCTTTATTGCTGACGTTTCGACAATTATCACAGGGAGACTTTGTACAAAACTCGTTTGCTTGGACACCTCTGTCCCATTCGTGTTTCTACCGTGAAGCTGTTGTGTTTGCATGGCTGTGTTTCGGTTTGAAGGGTGGGATGTGGTAGTGAATTTACAGGGTATAGAGGAATAACACCTGAGTCCTCAGGAATGGCAACGCATGGAGAGTATCATGGGCGAAACAGTATACTCTGTTATGTCCATGGTACTGCTTATGTCTATAGGCGACGGTTACCACTTTCCATCAGGTGGGCCGTCAGCTTGTTTGCCATTCTAAGTTGTATAAAAGAAGAAAAACGTGGTCACGACAGGACCTATATAGAATATGATATGTAGGTACTATTTACCTGTAAAAGCTTTTACATCGCGTTAAGTCTCAATTGTGTATTTAAAAATATGCGTAAACAACGCGAAAGTTTAAAATTAACTATATAATCTGTAGTTTTAGACTTTTTTATTACTAAAGAGTGTATATTTGACAGTCAAATTGATGATGACAATGACATACGCCATGATTTATAAACAAAATTAAAAATAGTTATTGTGTTTAAAGTTTATTTCGCGCCATTTCTTTAAAACTATCTCAAGACACTCTGGGATTATTTTACAGACAGTTTTCTTGTATGTTTGTATATATGTTTGGTTTTGTATTTATGTATTATTATGTATATATTATTTGTTTTATATTATGTATCATTAAGATGTGTTATGTTGTCCAGTATCAATGTTGTGCTCGTTTTGGTAACTGTATCAACTGTTATTTTACTATTTTTTTTAATTAGTTTTTTTTTTCTCCACCAATACACAATTTCTGTCAGACATTCAAAGATTGACTAGAAAAGATCCCTTTTATGGGACAAGTCCGCCATTGTACTCACTCCTTCCTTAAAGATTCTGTACCTTGTAACTTAAGACTACCGTCTGAATCTGAATGTGTACACATCAATAAACGACTAATCGATTGAGTGTATAGATTTGTCACTAATTTCTAGTATATAGTATAATATCTAATATATAGTAATTTGTTCCATTTATATCGCATATTTTGACATTCGCAAAGGCAATCAAATCCTATAGGATACTTACCATTATTGACCTAGAATCATGAAATTTTGCAAGAAGCAATGTCGTGAATTTACTGGGTACAGAGGAATAACACCTTAGTCCTCAGGAATGGCAACGTTTATCATGGGCGAAACAGTATACTCTATTATGTCCGTGATACTGCTCATGTCTATAGGCGACGGTTACCATTTTCTATCAGGTGGGCCGTCAGCTTGTTTGTTTTAAGTTATATAAATTCTAAGTTATATAAAAAAAATATAACAAAGTCAAATATAAACTCTTATTAATTATGATAATTTTGAAGAGGCTGTCAAGTTCATCATATCACATGTATCACTCTATAATATATGCCATATGACCTATAATTTTATTTTTTTATTTTTATTATATTAATGTAATTCTTTTTTTCAATATATTTCTTAAACATTCCTAAGTACAGTCGAATGTTATTGTTAATTTTTTTTTCGAATATTCTAAGTAAAATTATTTTGATATGTGATAATTGAATTATAAAAAAAAAATGTGATCTCATAAAAAGTGTGATTAATGAAAATATTACGATTGTACTTATTATTTTATTATTGTGATTAATTGTGTTTAATTTTAATTATTTGTATGTGTTCAGAGGTTCTCAAACTGGTTAGAATAATAATTGAATTTGAATTGAACTGAATCCGAAATGAAAATATTCTTAAAAGAACCTAAGTAACCGACATAGCGCGAAGGATAAGCAAGCTGAAGTGGCAATGGGCTGGTAAAATAGCTCAAGGAACCGTACAATCGATGGGAAAGAAAGGTTCTTGAGTAGCGAAGTCGTACGGGCAAGCGCAGTGTACGCTTGCAACTCCCATTAGATGGTCTGACGACCTCAAATGCATTGCAGAGAGTCAGTGGATGCAGGTAGCTTAGGACTGTTCCGTATGCCAGTCTATTTGGGAGGCCTATGTTCAGCAGTGGACAGGTGATGACGGAGATGATGATGATGATGATCAATTGAACGAGTTCTTAAAGACTTGGGCAAATTAATTGCAAATCATTTATATTTGTGTTCACGAAAGTGAAAAATCTTTGTAGCACAAATTCGTTCGCTTCGTTTTTCTTTTCGTTTTGTAACAAAAGTTTGAGAACGTCTGACTATATGCTTATTCTTTATAATATTTACTATTATAATGTAAGTGTCATGTGCTCATATAATAAACAATTGCACGTATAGCATTTTGAGTGTGTTGTTCTTTGCACTAACTGTCAGCTTGCACTAAACTCTCCTAACCACTGTGTTACTATAACTGTCACATAATTTTTACCCTCATACCCTACAGCCTAAATGTCGCGTACAACGCGGTTTCAGAAATGTTTTCTCCCACAAACACTCAGGTTATGGGATGAGCTCCCTGCCGAGGTTTTCTCAAGAGACTACATAAGGTTCTTCAAAAGGGTACCCCCCTTTTGAAGAACCCTATGTAGTCTTTTGGGAAGAGGTTTCTTCAGAGTCGGCAACGCGAGCGTAATACCTCTGGTATTGCAGGTGTTCATAGGCTACGGTAACTGGTTACTATCAGATGGGCCGTATGCTTGTTTGCCACCTCAGTGGTATAAAAAAATAATTACCACCTTTACTATTCATACGCTTTCTGTTTTTACCTAATGGTTAGCTGGTAGAGAATGCCATATGGCATTAAGCTCGCCACTTGTGCAAAGTTTTATTGTGCAATAAAGAATAAATAAATACATAAACCACTTAATTTAAAGTTCAAATAGTATTGAAAATATACTGCTACTGCTCACATTGCATTCACGAATCTTTAGTTCTTCCCTAATGTTTTACTTTCTTAATTAATAGTACATTACTGCAGCGGCCAGCAACTGAGGCATTGATGGATGGAGTCCATCAATGCCTAGGTGTAGCCAAGGCTTGTATAGTACTTTTCTCAAACAATGCGCGGAATACAAAAACACAATTTTACTTTTTAAATTCAATGACGAATAACGAATGATAATAATTTTTCACGCGCCATAATGTTACTTTGTTTTTTTTTTTTTCAATAAACAGCTTTCTATTTGCAAGCCAGTTCGAATTTTAAATACTAAACCTACTTGGTAGCCATGTTTCGAAGTAAAAGGTCATTCCATTTTTAAAATACAGGACAGATATGAGTTTACATAGTAATTTATCTGGCCGCAAAACACGACAGATATGGATTTTCATACAACTTTTGCCGGCCGCTGCCCGCATGTGTCTGGCCAGTACGGCAATTTTGATTTATCTCGAAGAAGATTGTCAAAATAATGCTCACATTTCCAAGCATGTTTGAGAAAACAATATTATCATACATACTTGTACAACAATTAGTCCATCACCCTAATGTTATCTTGTAAAGATTGCTCTCAGCAATAAGACCGCCTTACTGTACTTATACAACTGTATCGTTACATTTATTGTCTCGCTTATTGTCTATATTGTATAATGCAAATAAAGGATACTTATTCATTCAATTATTATTTTTGGATAATTCTCAACGATTTTTCCCCACTTTTCGGATTAACTAATATATCTTACTTCAATTGGCTCTGTTATGCAATCCTAGATTCACATAGCCAATAAATGTTAGGTTTAGAAGTATCCTCAATTATCATTTAACAGAAGATGAATAAAATTGTCTACTGTAAATACAGTGAAATGTGTAAAATACTGTGTGTTATGAGGAACCAGGTAACAACGTCTAGAGTCACAACTCGGAACACACCTAGTATTGCAAGCGTCCACAGGCTACAGTAACACTTTACCATCAGATGGGCCGTATGCTAGTTTACCACATTCGTAGTATAAAAAAGAAACACCCTGACCCGGCACTATCTGTAAAAGACGTTTCCTAAATTGGCACGATAGAGAATCGAATCCGGGACTTCATTATGTAAATCAATATGCCTATTGTCAAAGAGACCATATAAATTTAGTAATGCGAACTACCAATCCCATTGCTAGCAATATACCCTGTCAAGTCGACGTGGTTCCACCTGGAAATCATCGTGCTGAATTCCAGGTATATTCATCACGATATGATTCATCACGACGGACTTACTGACCTGCCTTTTCATTCTCACCTATCGTCCCTCACTGGTGCCCCGGCAACGAATACCGTTACCGCAGGCGAGATTACCATTCCATTATCGCCTATTAAAAAAAGCGGCTTCTAATCCTGACTCCAACTCTACAGAGTCCTGGACAACGTAGTTAATACTCGGTACCACACACCGCTGGAGCTGTACGCGATGCTATCAGACCTCGAGAACAAGTACCCGGACATCGCGGAGTTCAGGTCCGGGGACAGCCTCACCACTGCCACCTTCCATCAGCTGAAGATGACGGATCAGGTGCGTATCCGTTTATTAACAAACTACACGATACCCACGTGACCAGGATCAAAAGTAGCCTATGTTCTTCTCTATCAGGTGGGCCGTCAACTAGTTTACCATTCTAAGTTGCATAGAAAAAAAATTATGAACACTCTTAAGCCGTTAAGGTGCTAAAAGTACAACATTATTTTCACAGCTATATAGTATTTGTAATAATTTGCAGCTTCATGTTAGTTAAGCATACATAAACAAAAAAATAGTAAGAAAGAAAATACAATATTTTCTGCCCTAATATGCCCGACATTGGGTTTCAACTCTAATTCATCACTCTGATACAACCATTAAAATTGGGTAATAACATTGTAAATAAATTATTGTAATATTGTTTGAATGTTCTGATTTGGGAATTGTTTTGTAGTAAACATATAATATAATCATAGATATTGGCAGGATAATTTTACTTTAACATTTTGACTAAACTAATGTTATAAACAGAAGAAAATTAATTTTTTGTATGTTTGTTTGTAATGATAATAAATTAAAAAAATAATTAACCTATTTTGAAAATTCCTTCACCTATAGAAAACATTATCAGCAAGGAACTGGCTGTATTTTATTTTCCAAAAACCGTGTGAAGTAGAGGCGAGCAACTAGTATACAATAGTACCAAACCAGTGCGTCCATTTGGGACTGTTTCGTTAAAACTTAGCTTATTTCCAGGTCGGTTCACCAGAAGAAAATAAATTCCACATCGCCATAATGAGCAGCTTTTACGGCTCTCAACCACTAGGCCAGGAGATGGTGCTGAACTTCGCTCGGCATGTCGCTACCGCGTACACAATAGGAGAACCCATCCATCAAAGACTCCTCCAAACCACCGTCCTACACTTCATACCAAACCTCGATATCTTATACGAGAAATTATTAAAACAGTTCGACAGTACTGACAAATGCGAGGTGGAACTGCTAGAAGAAGAATTCGGAGACAGCCTTTACAATTTTCTAACAAATAAAAATCTCAATCCTCTATCGAATTACACTAGAGAAAAGGCATTTATCAATATGCTGACAGCAGAGAAGTACGATCTCGTTCTAGAACTAGCTTCGGGGACAGAGGATGTCGCTTATCCTGAGTTATCTAGGGGTGTGTACCAGAAGTTCGCGCAGAAGTACCAGGATTACAGAAATCCAAGCAATAAATATGACTGCACGTCATCTAATATAAATATAGTGCATGGAAATTTAATAGATTTGTTACGTGAAAGATACAATACGCCGATAATTTCTGTTGGGCTCAGTTGTTGTAAGATGCCTGTGGAAGAAGAGATTGCTTGGGTATGGAGAAACAACCTGAGGGGTATTATGCAGTTTGTTGAATTGACCAAGACTGGTGAGTTATTTTTTATTGTTATTATACTGTCCTGTATTGTATCACACGATATTTGCTGCTTAATAATATAAAATATCTAAACAGATTTGTACATAAAGATACAAGCCTTTATTACTCTGTTATTACTCCCTGCCCCATGTGGAACGTGACGTGAAAACAAATATGTAAAATTAAAGAAATAACAAATTTAAACAAATTTGAAATTTGTTTCAAAATTAGGTGAGATAATAAGATTTCGGGTAAAAGTCAATCAATAGACTGACTTTTACCTGAAATGTCATCGGCATGACTGGAATACGTCTCATTAAATTTCGTAGTGATTGGTAAAACCGTTAAAGCACTAAATGGTAACAAAAATAAAATCACTCACATTTTCAGTATTAAAATTAAAATGTAATGTTTAAAAAAAATAACCTTTACGCTAGTGAAACCACGGGATACAGATAATATTAAATATTTTACTTGTAGGCGTAATGGGGTACATAAAGAACGAACAAGGCGCGCCGATGCGGCGGGCGGTGCTAACAGTACAGTACGCTGGAAAGGAGGGTGAGGCCGCTGATGAGGAATCCGTGCGGGTGTCACCCAACATGGCACACTACCGCGCGCTGTTGCCGCCCGGGGACTACCGCGTGCTTGTACGTTGTCACAACTACCGCGATCAGGTATGTAGCAAGCCTCATCGATCCTCATAATAAATGCTAATTATACAGGTGAAGTTAAAATCGTTAACACCCTTTGAGGGCAGTGAAACTGAACATTTTCACCGAAGAAATATGGGCTGAAAAATGACAAATATTTGTGTCTCATATAATAAGGTGCGATCAGCTATTAAGATAGTATGGGAGCTTAACATGTTTTATCATTTTTTAATTTTTTTATTCATGAAGTTCCTATATCATGGGTAAATTCTTAGTTTTACAAACAGTTGCTTCATCCAGTAAATACAAAACTAATGCAATGAACGATAGTTCGACTTCCATAACACAGGGCTTTCCCAGCTTGAATTTTACTGTAGCCGTATTTAAGAGGGATCGGGTGGGCATGCCCACCCTCGGATACGAGTGGAAATTTAGACTACACTGAGAGTGCATAATGCAGTTTCTTTAAGGAGCCTAGCCTCTCAATGAAAAATAATTTTAATTACTTCAATGCATGTTAGAGATACTAAAAATAAATCAAATACATAAGTATCTATTTAATTACTTAAATAACTGTATTAACTAAATGAAAATATGGTACAAAAGGTGAATTTAGTGCTATTATTTAGTGATTTTTATTCAGTATTCTCTACTAGTCTGGCTTTGTGATGGACAGTGAATCACGAACGCAGTACCTCATCATTCATACTTCATTCAAATATTAAATTCATTATAATTCACTGTTTGTGTCGTGACTTTTTGATGAAATTCCAAAGAGTTATTTTGAGAAACTCCAAAGAGAATTGTTGAATGATTATTGTTTATTTGATGCTTTATTGTATCAATAATAACATTCATATAAAATCTTTAAAAACTGTTAAATGTCTTTTATTATTCTGCCGCCCAATTTGGAAAGCAGTTTCAACTGAAAGGTACAGGTAAGCAATTCGACCGTTGCTTCTTCCTATATTCAATTTACATGTTCAAGTTTTCGTGTAACTACAACTTACCAACATAATAATATAATGTTGGTATAATATAAACTTTTGACTAATTAATGTAGATATTACTTATATGTGCCAAGCATAGTATGTACTAGCAAACACCCCCCCCCCCCAGCAATGTCCAATGCTGAACACAAGCGGGAGGCTTGTGTTCAGCATTGGACGGATGATATGATCTTAATAGATAAATAGATAATTTATTTACATTACTTACAGCACACAAATTACAATACAAACATACACATAATACACAGTAAAAGAGATAAAAGAATGAAAATAAAAAAAAGCAACAAAACAAAAAAAGCAAAAAGCAAAATATATAATAATAAACATTATAATATGGAACTTGAAATTCGATTCACTGATTGCAGAAATAGTTATATACATATTATCATAAGAATTTCAGCCATTATCTGTCCACTGCTGGGCATAGACCTCTCTCATAGACTGTCATAAGGAACGGGCCCTGAGCCACCTGCATCCACCGACTCCCTGCAATGCATTTGAGGTCGTTACTCCATCTAGTAATAGCATATATATATATATATCTATCCTATTTAAGAGCTGCGGTCTTGTCGGTGGAGCTCTTGCCACTCACTACGATTTTCAACAAGTCTCTTCACCTCTTGATACGACACGACACCAACTCCTTCCTAGATCTACCTGATGTAACTATGTATTGGCCTGGGGGGAAAGGGATTGTTAGTAATGGAGACTAAAAATCCCATTGCTAGCAATATACCCAACCAGGTCGACCTCCTCGTGGTTCCCCCTGGAAACTATCATGGTTAATTCCTGATGAATTATCCATCCATCATGATGGGCTAACTGGCCTGTTTTCATTCTCATCTGTCACCCTTCACTGGTGCTTCGCCAGCGTATCCCGTTAGCGCAGGCGGGGTTGCCATACCATTTTCATCCACCAAAAAAAAACTATGTATTGATCCCCACCTTTCTTCTATTAGAATATTCATAACTTCGTCGTGTCGTATCAAGTGTCCTAATATATTTTCCTTTCTGACCTCAATAGTTCTTATAATTTGTCTCTTTTCCTTAACCCTAAGCAAGACCTCGTCATTACTAATTTGATATATATTCGATTCTAGTATATATACATATGCAAGTAATAATATTTTACTTAACTAGGTATTATTGGGGGGAAAGGGTAATCCCTTGGGTCAGTTAGACCCCATTACTAATAATTTAGTAATGGGGTCTAACTGACCCATTGTTAGCAATAAACCCCATCAGGTCAACCTCCACACGGTTCCCACTGGAAACCACCGTGGTTAATTCTAGTGGAATTCGTCACGATGGGCTAACTAACCTTATTTCATCGTGACATATCATCGCTCACTGGTGCCCCGCCAGCGTATACCGATAACGCAGGCGGGGTTACCATTCCATTATCACCCTTTAAAAAAAACTAGGTATTAGATAGATAGATACGAGGTCTGTCCGGAAAGTTCGTATAAAAGTGTTCTGGAATGCGAGAAAGAGGAGTGGGGAGGCCAGGTAAGCGCAGGACCCCTTCCTTATGTCCCTAACAATGCTTCAGTTCTGGTCTGACCGCCGTGCGGTGCGAACTGGCTTGTCACGCCATCTGTGAAGTTACCTCTTAACGAAACCCCGTCGGCATGGAGCCCGCTTCCGTTGAAGAGCAGCGCGTCGTAATCAAGTTTCTCTCGAAACTCGGCAAGAATGGCCGTGAAATTTTTGCCGATCTCAGAACAGTTTATGGGGATGATGCTGTGAAGGAACCAACCGTCCACAAGTGGCTAAAAAGATTCAGAGAGGGCCGAGAAAGAGTTCGATGTTCGGGGGATTGTCCATCAAGAATTCGTCCCTCCAGGCCAGACAGTTGATGGAAAATTCTACGTCGATGTGCTCAGACGCCTCAAAGCTCGTGTGGCACGAGTTCGTCCAGAATTGGCGCGAGAGGGGCGTTGGATTCTTCACCACGACAATGCCCCTGCCCACACCTCTCTTGTTGTCCGTGAGTTTTTGAGTAAAAATTCCATTACGGTGACCGAACACCCCCCCTATTCGCCGGATTTGGCCCCGTGTGACTTCTTCTTGTTCCCAAAAACCAAATTGGTACTTCGGGGGCGGCATTTGGGGGACATAAATGAGATAAAAAAAGCTACGACGGGGCAGCTGAGAAACCTACAACCAGAGGACTTTCAAGGAGCCTTCTCACAGTGGAAACGGCGTTGGCACAAGTGCATTATGTCACAGGGGGAGTACTTTGAAGGGGATAAAATTGATTTACCTGAATAATTGTAAAATAAAATTTTTAAAAAACTTTTATACGTACTTTCCGGACAAACCTCGTAGATGACCTTTATTACCATTATTAAGAAAAAAAATATTAAAACAACAAAAAGAAAAAAAAAAGAACAATTAATGTTGTTGGTAATAGGGGCCGCCTCAGCTGTTGCTATATATGTACAGCTCCAGCGAGATGTACCTATATTATTTTGTGGAAGTTCATATCACTGGTTATTTTATTAGAATTATTTTGTTTAATTCCGTTACAATTAGTATGTGTGCGACTGGCAACACTCAAAACGAGTAATAATGTATTTTTCAGACATTCACATGGCGGGTTGTTGATGGAGTGTTGAAGGAAAAAGACATAATACTGCAACGTGAAAACGCCGAAAGTCTCCCTGGAGGGCAGTATCCAGAATTGAAGGTCACGGACAGCGATCCCAACACCATTTACATCACAGGTAATTTTTTTATCATCATCATCATTATTAGTCGATAACAGTCCATTGCTGAACATAAGCTTTCCCCATAAAACCACCGTCTAGAGAAATAACCCCTCAGAATCGATCCCAATTCTGCAAAAAAGGGTAAAGTAAAGGTAAAGGTAGTCGCAAATGCCTACAGCTCGCGCTCAGCAGGTCGAGGCATGCAGATTCGTGCTCGAATCACAATCGCTCATGACTAAGGATCACGAATTGATCCCGAAACTAGTTGAGCTTTTTCGATGTAATCACACGTAAGATAAGTATTTATTTATTTTTTATTTATTTAACTCTTTATTGCATTATAAATAAAAATATACAATGACAAGTGAATAATTCAAGTGAAATACAGTAACATAAATACAGATTGAAATATACACATAAAGGTACAAAAGGCGTTCTTATCGCTAGGGCAATCTCTTACAGACAAGACAACCTTTAGTTAAAAGAGAACAGATAGAAAAGGGCAGGTGTAAGTAGGTAGTTATTACATTAAAATAAAAATAAATCAATCTCTTATAAACAACCTTTAACCGAAGTTTGTCTGTAAGAGATTGCCCTAGCGATATGACCGCCTTTTGTACCTTTATATGTATATTTTAACCTGTACATGCTACTGTATTTTACTTGAATTGTTTATATGTCATTGTTTATTTTATGTTTTTGGTGCAATAAAGAGTTAAATAAATAAATTATTTAATTAATTGCAAATTTCATAGTTAATTTATTAATTTCTTTTTTAGGTTTAATTTTGGACCACGACAGCCAACCGCTAAATAACGCACAACTCAAGATATTCACTCTGAGCTCTATAAAGCCCATATCGACCAATAGCAGCGATGAAGCGGGCCGCTTTATGCTCTCTGTGCCGAAGAGGTATACCGGCAAGGAAGTACTGGTGTCGGCGTCTGTCGACGGATATGTCACTAAACAAAAACATATTATGGTGAGTGCTACATATAATTTGGCGTTCCATTGTTTCTGCCTACCCTAATGGGAGACGGGCTTGATAGATATGTCCAGTTGTGGACATAAGAAGCCTTATGCCCACAACTGGACATAAGGCTTCATAATCTAAAAATCTCAAAAGATATGTAGTCTCTTTATTTATTTCATCAACGTCATGGCAACCTTAACTGTCCACTGCTGAACCTAAATCTCCCCCTTGGGGGAGGGGAGGGGGGTACCAGTAGTTGCCAAGCTTGGCAGGCAGATTGGCAACCGCAGTTAGGCTTTGGAAATGTTTTAAGAGGGACGCTGCTGATTTATTTATTTATTTTTTTATTGCACAATAAAATTTTGTACAAGTGGCGAGCTTAATGCCATATGGCATTCTCTACCAGCTAACCATTAGGTAAGAACAAAAAGCGTATGAATAGCAGAGATGGTGAAAATATGTGAAATAATTATTGATTTAATAGAATTTTAAGAAAAGTTAACCAGGTTTTGTTAAAATTACCACAAAAAGACGTCTTCGTTATATTAATACAAGTCCAAAAAAGAAAGTACATGAAGATTGCCATATTAAAATTTTTTTTTAATATTTATTTATGAACTATATTTGAACAAGGCAAAAGGCAAACTTAACACGACATGTTGTTATATAGTAGTCAAACAATTTTTTATATTTACATTTAATGTTGCCATTTTCAAGCATTAATTACTTAATTCATTCAAATGGAATAAAAATAAAAAAAATAAAAATATTTATTTGGGATCCTTAGCTTAATTTACAGTTTTTTGTATGATCGAATGTTTCAGCGATGAACAAGTTTCTTATTTCTTTTTCTTTTATTTATTTATTTGATTGTAAGATGTACTAACGTTGGACTAAGATTATGTTACTAAAGAATTAGATAATTGTAATCTGTAATAATATTGTATTGTATTATAAAATCTTTATTGTACATAATTCATACGGAATACATCAAAAGATTTAATATACAATGGCGGACTATATATATATATATATATACCTTATATTTAATAATAATTAAACCCATTAAAAATATATTAATAATTTGTTTTCAGACAAATTCGAAGGATAACTGGACACAGAATGTTCTATTCAAGCTGGAGAAAGACGACTATGTGCTCGGTCTGCCACGGCTTATATTTGTCATGCTAGCGGGTTGGTATCAATTGAATTATTTTTTATAATAATGTGGTGGCAACCCTGTTTACGCTATCAATATACGCCGGCGGAGCTCCTGTGATAGATGATGATAGGTGAAGATGAAAGCAGGTCACTTAGCCCATTTTGACGAGCTGCGTGTGGGTCGACCTGATTAATGTATGTAAATATCTGTCTATCCTTTCCGACGATATCTTCCAACGAGGATATTTTTTATTGATGGGTGAAAATGGTATGGTAGCCCCGCCTGCGCTAACGGGATACACTGGCGGAACACCAGTGAAGGGTGATAGATGAGAACGAAAACAGGTCAGTTAGCCCAGCATGATGAATTCGTCAGGAATTAACCACGATACTTTCCAGGGGGAACCGCGAGGAGATCGACCTGATTGGGTATATTGCTAGCAATGGGATTCTCAGTCTCCATTACTAACAATCCCTTTCCCTCCCCCAACAAGGATATTAAATTACTATACCTCGATGTTCAAATATTTGCAAGCAATTTTCCCCTTCCCAATGTAACTGGCTGTAACAGTTTTTGTAAACCCCCCTCTACGTCTAAACGTTACGTAACACCCAAGTAAATTTTATGCTTTAACTACTTACTAGAGACCCCCTGAGCATATTGGTATAGGGTATAATTTTAACTTTTTTCTCTTACACTGGAGTATTGTACGTCTAGGGATCAGAAAAAGTCATTACACTATACATAATATCCTTAGTCTATAACTATATAAATAGTTATTAATATATTCCTTTTAAAATAAACTATAAAATATTGAGTTGCAAAAAAGCTGATTTTTTTTTATTTTATTTTATACAAAAATCCACAACTCTTAAAAAATTAATTACATGCTAAGTCTCTTATGAATACAGCCAATAACGGATTTTATATAAATAAGTAAATGTGGATTAAAAAAATTTAATTAAAATTATCTTGCAGGCGTAGTAGGCGTGGGGGTGGTGACCCTGGCCGCTTGGTGCTTCAGCTGCCGCCAGAGGGCGCGGGAGTCGCGGCGGGAGTACCTGTTCGCGCCGTTACCGTCGGACGACAAGCGACCGCTATGCGAGGACACCAACTATGGTTGATTACAGGCTAACTTTGTTTTCGTTAAAATTCATTTTTTTATGCAACTTAGAATAGCAAGCACGCTGACGGCCCATCTAATGGAAAGTGGTAACCGTCGCCTAAAGACATGAGCAGTATCATGGACATAACAGAGTATACTATTTCGCCCATGATACCCCCCATGCGTTGCCATTCCTGAGGACTCAGGTGTTATTCCTCTGTACCCTGTAAATTCACTGTCATATCCCACCCTTCAAACCGAAACACAGCCATGCAAACACAACTGCTTCACGGTAGAAACACGAATGGGACAGAGGTACCCAAGCAATCGACTTTTGTACATAGTCTCTCTCTGGTAAATTATTTATTTATATATATTTTTTTATTTGTTCCTTTAAATAAGAATTTATTTACCCTTCGCCTTTTCAATGCAATTGATTTGTCAACAGAAATAATACGTAAACCGTACTACGACGTTGAAGACTTGCCCCCATCGGAGACGGACTCCGAAGAGGAGATAGTGCTGCTCCGCTCAGACCGCGAGTGGAAACCCGTCGAACAAGAATAACTCACTGGAACTGTAAAATAGAACATGCCAAACCGAAGGACCATACCGTGGACAGAGAGTATTGGTCTAACCAGTCTTCAGTCAGGAACTTTTGTCCTCACATAAAACGGTAACAATGCCTACTGAATCAAGACTACTGTGGACAGAGCTTACTCAGTTAAAGAGCTTATGTTCGTGGACAAAATTTTCAAAAGACAAAAACATTTGAAATCATACAATTATACCATATATATATTTATATAGGTAGACTTACACATTCGAAGAACTTTTTGTCTACGAACAAATTAATTCGACGAGATTCTTCTTCGACGTCCTTTGTAATTCGACGAGAAATAATCCTCGCATACATTTAAGTCATAATAAAACCCGTAATATAATGCATATAATATATCGCATGCTAGAACACACACATGCATGTGGGTAAATATGTAACGCACACAAAGAAATTTTAAATGCGGAAAGTTGTCCACAGACATACGTGCACAGACATACATAGTTTAAGCATATTATTTATACAAGCATTATAACCTCCAACGTACATATTTTTTTTTGTAAAAATTTTTCAAATAAAGAATTCCAGTCGATATAAAAGAGAAAAACATTCCAACAGATAAAATAGATTTATTAGACACATGATAATTAATTAAATAATTACCATAATTTCGTATAAATAAATATGTTTACCACTGTGGTCCCTAATGGGTTGTGCTAATTAAAAAAGAAAATGTGATGCAAAGATAGAAAAGATCTCTTCCTTCTTACGATTTGAAACAGTATTAAATTTTAATATTATAATTCGGTTGTTTTTGTGTGAAATTGGCTTTTGTTGAGAGGGCACAAGTATGGTTTTGCTATGCTATGTTTTTAGCAAACACGTCTATTGGATATTATTTGTATGAATGATACAATTAGAAAACTATTTGCCTGTGTGAATACATTTTTGAAAGACCATTATTTATATAGCTTTATATTTTTTTATTATACATTGCTTATAATCTTGTTTTTTTTTTTTTTTTGGATATAAAACTAAATTTAACAGTCGTAAATTTTCCATAAATATCTAAAAATAATGGAACTTATTTTTATAGCCTCTCACAAAATGAAATACCTACTTTAAATAATTCCGTCTTAATTTTTTTTTTTACATTCCTTATACTTAATGTTTGATAAATTATTATATTTTTCTATTTTATTTATGTAGTATTTATAATATTTTTAAAAATAATATAAATATTACGCACTTATCTAATTCCATTTTGTCTTCAATCTATCATCATGTGAATCGTTCCTTTTTATAAACAAATTAATTTACTTTATTGTAACTTTTTTTATGAAATATTTTACATTAATATGTTATTGATTTCATTGTAATAATAATTTGATCACTTTACATAGTAGAGGCATGCGTCTTTCATTAATGGCGTTAATTGATATTTGTTTTACGTAAAAATAATAATTTTGTGTTTTTAACTTATTGAGTAAGTTGTGATATTAAAAAATTGTTACTGCTATTGCTTTGATATTGAGGTGACGATGGTACGAATTTAAAATTAGAAAATTGAATCTCAATTCAATAAATAGATGAATTTATTAATATATATATATATATTACATATTGAAAAGTAATAACTATTGTGCCTATTTTGGTGCTCTATTTAAACTGTACATTTGTCTTTATATTGTAAACATATATGTAGTTCTCTAGTAATGTAATAGTTTTTAATGTAGTGGAGAAATATAATTTAGATAATATTTTTTTTTATTTATATATCTCCTATATATATATATATATATATATATATATATATATATATATATATATATATATATATATATATATATATATATATATATATATATATATATATATATATATAAAGCAAGACGTCCGCGTGGTCCCAGCATAGAATGGGCCACCCCTTCCCTTCCTATAGGTGTCGCAAGAGATGACTAAAAAAACAACCCTTCTTTGCATAATGGTGGAAATTTCCATCATAACATTGAATGCCCAAATAGAATAAATAAAAGAACAATTTCACTTTAAGTTGATCGTGTCTGGATACCTTTTTAATGTCCATTGCAGAAAAAAAAACATAGCTGTCACATTTATTTTTTCAACTATTTTTCTTTTAATTTTGTACATGAATTATATCACCTTGATTTATTTCATTAAAAAAAATCATGCAAAGAAGGAAGATAAAGGGATGGGCAGCAGCGTCCATATTAAAACATCTCTAAAAGTCTAACAGTGGTTACTAACTTCTAGCCAAGCATAGCCACTACTGGCAAAACCCTTTATGGGCATGACTTATGTTCAGTAGTGGACAGTTAACAGCTGTACCGTACCGCAAGACATTAACACTCCGCGATGTGCAGGTCTTTAGATACTAAAGACCTCTTTACATACGTCTCTTGTTTCCTACAATTCTGAAAGTCAGTATTGAAATGACAATAAAGTTAGTTTGCACAAAGGACAAAAAAGAAAAAAAAAACATTTACATACTTGTGTAATGGTAAATATTGCTGAACAATTGTAATTAATTTTAAGATTTGCTACTACCAGTCACCAATATTTAGTAAATAAAAATCATTCATTCCCTCATCCTTCGCCAACTCAACAATGCTCGCTACATCCCGCTGGTACTTTTATTTTAAGAGATAAAAAAGATGCATTATTTAGTATACTAGCAGGGTATTGGCAAATAATAATAGATGAAAATTAAGTCAGTTAACCCATCGTAACGAATTTACTAAGCATTGATTAGTACGGTTTCGAAAGGGACCATGAGGAGGTCGGCTTGATAGATTATATAATTAGTGGTCCTCATAGTAAACAATCCCCTACAGCTTGTGCTTCTTAGATAAATATATTAGAACTTCGACATTTCTACATACATATGTTACGCCTGTCTCCAAAGGGATAAAGTAATTGTTACTAATAGAGATCCTTACTCCAATAAGGGGGAATTACTTGTTAGTAATGGGTCTCATAGCCTCATTGCTAGCAATACACCCTATCAGGTCGACCTCCACGTGGTATCCTTTGAAATCTTAATTCATTCGTTATGAATTTCACCTACGGGTCAACTGAGCTATTGCATTTTTTTCTGTCATATTTGATTGGTGTCACGGCAACGTAGGTAAGGTTATCGTTCTATTATCACCTATTAAAATAAAGGAAAATCATCAGCAATAATGCAAAGCAAAATATGAACTCAGACTACGCAACGTAATTAATTCGATATAGTTATAATTTAAATACCAGAATAGGAAATAAGAACCAACTTATTTGACATGGCAACACAGAGCTATCTCGTGCTTTGTTTCCGTCGTCAGCTGTCAATAACTGTCAATCAGTCAGTAAAATTGTCAAACGGCTGTGTTTTCTTTGATATCACTTTCATCAATTTGTCGAGTCCTCTGTGTATTTTTGCAAAAAACCGATTTCGTTTAGAAATTGTTCAATTACAATGATAATTATTGGTCTCACTTGAAAGCTAGTGAGTTTGTCGTTCTACTAGTGCATTTCTTTAATAGAATAGACAATTAAGGTGATGGATAGAGGTGGTGGCGTCTACGATATGAGTCGAAGAGCCGGGGATTTCGCGCGGCGCATCCAAAGAATCATTGATGGTCCGATCACGAGGAAGAAATTGGTATTGTTATGCCTTATTGCCGTGTTCTTACTTTTATATATTGGGCCAGGATTAATGAATTGGCTGTTCGGGGCCGAAGACTCTGTGTCATACCAAAATGTATGTCAGAAAAACTTCCTTAATCCATTTCAGGAGGCCCTTAACGAGTACGACGTGTATATAAGGCAAGAGTCACTGGCCACACTGTCTACTTTAAGCTATAATTATGTGCCTTACGTAGGTAATGGGTTGATAGGACTTACTTTGGACCATGATGCCCATTTTAACATCAAACATGGCCGGTCCTTATCTTTACCGGTGTATTACCACCCTCTATACATAATAGAAGATTATGACATGAGAGAGTACACTGTTACTGAGTATAGGAAGGGAATCGTCCATAGATTTCAATGTAGCAACTCAGGTTTACAGATCTCATACAAGTATTATGCACACAGGACAATACCGTCATTGTTTGTTCAAGAAATTTGGATCAACAATCCCACGAACACTGGTAAAACTCTGCGAATCTCTATGCCAAGAATTTCAGAGTGGCCCACAGCGGTTAAACAAACAGTAAAATTGCATCAGGGTGTCGATACGAAAGATTATGAGGTATATACAGGAATGATACAACTGCCTGATAGTGAGAATGTTGTTGCCGTATCAGTGGTGAGTAGGAAACTGAGTAATAACATTCAAATTGGGGCCAGGGATGGTATAGACATCTTAGTTTTAACTACTGTGCAGTACAGCAATCCTATTAAAAAAGCTGATTATGCGAAACACAAGGATGTAGTTGAGAAGAAAGCTATAGCTGAAATGGAAAAGGTTATAGGTCTAACATGGGACAGAAATGCAGTTAGAACTCTTCAAGATAACCATGCGAGGGTCTGGCAAGGTCTTTGGTACACTGGCTTTTACATATCAGACTCAAAGGCAGAAGGTGTTATAAATGGAGATCGCATAAATGCTACAATATATACAATCTTATCACAGGTCAGTAGTTATGAACACGAAGAACATATAAAACCAGCGAGGAAAGCTGATATACTACGGGCGTTGACTTATTCGGAAGGTTGCTATGAAGGGCATTCTACTTTGGACGCATTGAACTTATGGAAGCCTCTGAGTTCGTTGTCAAATATAAACGATGTAGCCAGCCTTTGGCTGCTAACATTGGAGAAACAAGGCTGTTATAAATTGCTCGCAGCAGGTGCCAGCGGTGTGAATCAAGCAATGATACTTAGTTTTGGAAGCTTACGTTTCAGTAATCAACATTTAGAATACAACATACACCCATCAAAGTTACATAGAGACTTTCTTTTCAGACGTGTCACATATGGAAACATGACACATGTTAATATAAGTGTTATTTTACAAGAGGACAATAAAGCAGCTATATTTGTTGCATTAGATCGTTCAGATAAGACATATTACGCTTGCGATGCAGGCTGTTTAGACGCGCCTGTGCAGTTAGGACCTTACAAGAAGTATTTCCCTGTGAAACTGACAGAACCGTTAACAGCAATTTTGTATATAACTGCTGATAAGCAACACATGGAAGACCTAAGGCACGCTATACACGTACATGAAGTAGTTGAGGCACCAGCACATGAGAATCATGTGATAGCGTTGCACAAGCACGGTTATAGTTTAGGGGGCCTGAACCCCCTATTCTGGATTTCTATTATACTTTTAATAGTGGTCTTCCATTTGTTCCTGTGTAGGATAATTATGAATGAGTTTTGTGATAGCGGCGTCAGCTACAGGAGGCTTTATAACAAACCTTGAAATGTTGGTTATGCCTTAAGTGCTTTGGTATACTAACAATGTCCAGTGCCGACTGAAAACTAAGGATGGGTAATATGTAATAATATCTATATATTGTAGTTACAATATCTATACGTATAACAGATAGATACTGGTTTTTTTTTTATGGGTGAAAATGGTAACAACGCCTGCGCTAACGTGATACGCTGGCGAAACATCAGTGAAGGGTGATAGATGAGAATGAAAACAATCCAGTTAGCCCATCATGATGAATTCATTAGGAATTAACCATGATAGTTTCCAGGGGGAACCGCGAGGAGGTCGACCTGGTTGGGTATATTGCAAGCAATGGGATTCCCAGTCTCCATTACTAACAATCCCTTTCTCCCCGATAGATACTAGTTATCCAATATATAATATCGAAAAAAGAACCTGTTTGTAATGAATAAAGATCTCTGGCTAGTATGGACGGTATCGCAATAGGTGGTCATCAATATCTAGTAGAACTCAATATATAGTTATCGGATATTACCCATCTCTACTGAAAACTACATACCAGTATCTTGTTATGTATATCTAAACTGATACATAGTTTTGGTAATGATCAAACATGCTGAATGATTAAGTTATAAGTATAACGAGAAAGGCAGGATTATCGTATCTGTTGAGAAACGCTCATTTTTATGCTGTACCAATTGGAAACGCTTAGAACGAGTTTTTTAAGTAGACACTTATTAGATATTATTAAAGACATACTTTATTCCACGTTTCGTAGTTCTGATCACTTTCTAATTTGAACTAATTTCAAACATAGAAATCTTTGTACACGATTCGACATTGATTTCGTCTAGTGTTCCCAATTTGTATAATAAAACATCCAATTTGTATATTTATCTGGATGAATAAAAAATAGGTATTTATTATTCAAGTAGGTATATCTATCTACATTTTCCAATCAGTGAGAACTAACAGTAAAACTAAGGTATCTATAGTTTTTTTTTATTTCTTTGTTGATTTAAGCTCTAATAATCTCGCGGTTGTCATTTTATTCTATTACCTGCATCCATCTATGTAAAGCTGATATTTGCTTGGCAGCGTAAGGTATACTTAAGGCCATACCTATACACCTTTTCAGCAGTGGACAGCTTATGGCTAATATATTGACAATTAAAAAGTGCTCTGCTAACGAAGTGAAACGTTAATCCTGCATCAATATTGTTATAAAGCTGGTACTGGGAATTTAGATTTTTATGTCTAAAATGTATTTTTTTTCCTCTTGTTATCTGCAATCGGCTCTTCCATAACAGCCATAATCAGATAGTGTCATGTGTGAAAATTAGCGTTTTGAGAAGCAGTCCCTGTCAGTGGTCTGCTCTCTTAGAATGATTTTGTAAAGCTCATCAAACTCTAGTGTCAAGGTTCAATACAAGCCATCGTCTTAGTCTCGTAGATTGTTGTGCTGTGAGTAGTTCTCCAGCCAGGTCATTCGTATGATTTATAAGGCGCTGTTTATATTTTTTGCTGTTCATCCTTATCTCTTCTTTAATAGTATTAATTTGCATATAATTATGTATCTCCTCATTTCTAACAAACCATGGAGATTTAATAATGTTTCTTAAAGTAATGTTCTGAAATCTCTGCAAAATCTCTATATTGGAATTACTAGCAGAACCCCACAGTTGGATCCCGTAAGTCCATATAGGTTTTATTATGCATTTATACATAAGCATCTTGTTATTTGAAAAATTCCGAAGCAAAATATGTAGTAGGTGTACAGTTTCTAGTGGTAAATTTATTTGCAATATATTCTATGATCAACGTTTTATTGTTACTAGATAAGATTAGACATATAGGTTTTATTTGGCATACACAAGTTTGTTTGAAAAATGTTTTAAAAATTCCGAAACAAAATATCTAGTACAGTTTCTAGTGGTAAATTTGTAATGTATTCTATGATCAACGTTTTAGTTCGATAAGATTAGACAGGCGAATCGACCATTTTTTGACATTCGATCATTAGTCGCCTCGTGGGTACTCACGGGACAATAAGGAGTGGCCCATTCGATGCCCGGATCACAAGGTCCGGGAATAGAATGGTGGCATGGAATAGTAAACGGCAATGGCGCGTCCAGCTTTTAAGTTATAGATAGATAGATACTCTTTATTTTTTCCCCAAAAGATATAGTTCCTCTAATAGTTAGTATGGAAATAGGTATTAGTTTTTTTTTTTAATTTACAATATTTCATATCCTAATATGTTTTATAGCATGAATACATTTTCAATCGACTTCAAAAAGGGGGTTCTCAAATCAATTGTATTTTTTTTTATCCTCATAACCCGGTCAGGTCTAAACCGTTTTAGAATCTTTTTTATCTGGATATACTTACAGATTGATTCCATGGAAATTTTATCACAATCAGTTTAGTAGTTTTTAGAACAAAATATCTGAGTTTTTCACAATTGAAGTCGGTTATTTTTATGGGACACAATCTTTAATATTATATTGACATGTGACTTTACCCTGAATATTCAATTATAAGCAATTAAAATGATTTTAATATGTATATACAGAATTTACATCTATGAAAATGTAATTTCGATAAGAGAGAGATTTGTTTGAATCGAAGCATTTGGCGTTCCATTGTTTCTGCCTACCCTAATGGGAGACAGGCAATGACGGATATGTATGTGTATATATAATTTCGAATTACATTAACTAAATTGTGTTGCGCTAATATGACACTCGTGATATCGAATCGTGAGTCCAAAATGAAGTGACCTTCATTTTATTAACATAATGTCTAATGTTAAAATGGTATTTTTGCTTCGTATTTTTCTCGTAAATATTTAAATAGTCCTCTTGTAAAGAATCTTAACGACGCTCCTGAGAATTATCTATAAAATAAAATAAACTATACGTTAATAATGAACGTTTGCGATGGTCATACGTTGATAATAATTAATAATAAAAATAAATTGATTTAAACAAAAATGCGGGTACGCAGTTTACTTATCAGTGATTACTACACTAGGCTCGCAGGCCTGTGGGTCTACCATGAAATGAAATTCCGAAATTTCGTACTCAATTTCGTGTTTTTGTTTATACCAAAATCGGACCAATAAATGGAGTTTAACATTTCGTTCGTTATACATCCTATCATAAAAGTTCAAAGGAACGATATTTTAACATTTTTAATATATCCAAACGGCATGTATTATGTAATTTTAATATCAATTTTCTGTTTCGTTTGGCTCCGAAATTTCGGAAAACATTTCATGGTAGGCCCTCTGTTTCGTAGGTGACTAATTATATTAGTACATAATTACTGGCGTTTACGGTCTGGTTCTAACACAATTTTATTATTTAAGTATTTGAAAAGTTATAAATTCCATCGAATTATATTGATTTACTTTTTCGTACAATGTACTAAATTAGCTTAACTAATAATATATTTCGAAATAACACCTAAATATTTATTGTTTCTCAGTGAGATTAGCGGCCATACTTGGCGCTATGTCAACAACCTTCGCCTCAAATTTCCCGCTCATGAAGTGACTCTCTTGAAGTTTATTTATTTATTTATAAAAGACACACCAACAATATGCTCACAATAATTAAGCAGACAATATACAATGTTATTAGTAAGTAAAAGTTAAAAACTACTATTAAAAAATGCTTAAATCTAAGTTTGAACAAAAAAATCTTACTCCTCACTACCAAGCTTAAGGCCATATGAACACATCAATTAAAGGTGGTATACAGAGGGCCTACCATGAAGTATGTACCATGAAATTTCGGGGACGAACGAAACAGAAATTTGATGTTAAAATTACATAATACATGCTGTTTAAAGTTATTAAAAATATTAAAAGATCGTTCCTTTGAACTATTAGAATAGGATTTATGATGAACGAATTGTTAAGCTTCATTTACTGGGTCGATTTTGATACGAACAAAAATACGAAATTGAGCCCGAAATTTCGGAATTTCATTTCATAGTAGACCACCTGTTCTCACAGATAAGACGGATAAGTTGATTGACTATAGTAATAAGTTTATACATAACCCTGTCATACCATCTAGTTCTCAATTCTCTAGTATTATAAATATCCTAAAAATATATGAATTTATGAGAGTTTATTTTGACAAAGTTTTTAAATTGCTTCCTCTATTTATTAGTTAACGTTTTTAAAGCTTTTCGCTTCGTCCACGGCGCAGGCCTATCGATAAAGTATTTATTGAATAGTATAATAAAACTAACGAATGAAAAACTACTTTATAATCTGACCATTATTTCTTAAAATCGTAGAGTGGTTAGTAACTATTTAAATGTAAAGCGATGTAAAGCGTATGCTTTTACGCTAGAAATGTTTTTATATCTAATTCCATTAATACATCTCGCAGCTTTCTTTTAATGTATATATTAAAATAATTTTATTATTTAATTTATATTTAGTATAAAGACTGGATATTTTCTGTTTGTTTCAATATATTAAAAATTAAAATTCATCAGGATAGCGCCATCTAGTGTTGCAATGCTGTTTCGTCGTTTCCACGGTTGTTTTCGTTTATGAGGACCTTCTCAATGAGCATGTGACAAACGACGACAGAATTTATGTATACATTAAAACTGTTCAAGGATGAACGACAGACGGATCTAACGATTTGAAATAAGTGTGGTAATAACTATTACAAAGTCACAAAAACTAGAATGCAAAGTACATATATATAATACCTGTTTACAATCAATGAAGTTAACCCAATTTGCAGCATGTTTAAAACAATTTGAGAGTGGTGAAACTGTTCTAGGTCATGGGTTTTCTTTATTCTTACACTATCAATACGTAGGATCATTATGCTTAGATATTTTACGAATATAAAGATTCCCTAGTAAAGATCTCTTTTAACGGTAACGCCGTCGATTATGTTTCTTCTTTATTTTTTTTTGTAATTATTTATTTATTTACACTTTATTGCACCAAGTAAAAAGAGAAATAACAAATACAGTACATATTAATGAGAAGTGATTATAATGATAATAATATTTTTTTTCCATTACAACCTTAGTACTAGCTAATATAACAAGCAACAATCGCATGAAATTATTAAGAGAGAAACTGGCTGAAAACCAGCTGTGCAGCTGTACACATTGCACCGGGACAGGAGTCAGTTCCTTTTGCCTAATACGAGACACTTCTTATATATAATATTACTGTTATATGTTTTTTTTTTTTTTTTGCAATAAATATTTTCTATTTTATTCTATTCTAAAAGACATGATCGCAGTTGACAATAATGGAGCCAATTCTGAGGGGCTATTTCTCTAAACCTAACTCTTAATCATTTTTTTTATTTGATAATTTCACGAAATTAATATTATATGACCCATCATAAACTAAAATAATAATAATTTTGACTTAAATGTATTAGAAAATTAGTTCATTACAGTAAAGATGTCGCTGTGATCATCATCATCATTTCAGCCATTATTCGTCCACTGCTGGACATAAGCCTCCCCCATAAACTGTCATAAAGAACTCGACACGCCAATATAAAAATGTCGCTGTGATATCAAATAAAAATTTTAAAGGTTTAGAGTAATGCGCCTTACAATCGGCCGCAATGAGTATATATTACTAAAATAAAATATAAAAACTCAATATTATTTATTGGTTTCATTTTATACAGAATAAAATAAATAAATATACAGAAATTCTCACCATAGGAGCAATATGGAGCCTACTATTATCACATTAGACTTGATAAGAGTTTGAATTCACTTAAACTACTGTATTGTGACGTATGCCCTTAACTCACCTCTAACGACATCTAGTGATGAATGATGATACCTATTTTTTCTCCATCGCCACACACAATCTTCATGCTGCAATATGATAATGTAATAAGCCACTTAGATGTTAGACTGTATATAATACCAAGTGTATAAAAATTATATTGTTAAAATATGAGTGTATATTTTTGAAATTAAAATCGAATTTTATGTTATACAACTTGTATTATTGTTGTCTTCCCCTATCTTATTTGACTAGGGGGAAAGAGATTGTTAGTAATGGAGACTGAGAATCCTATTGCTAGCAATATACCCAACCAGGTCGACCTCCTCGCGGTTCCCCCTGGAAATTATCATGGTTAATTCCTGATGAATTCACCATGATGGGCTAACTGGCCTGTTTTCATTCTCATCTATCACCCTTCACTGGTGCCCCGCCAGCGTATCCCGTTAGCGCAGGCGGGGTTACCATACCATATTATATTATTCTTACGTGTACAAGTATATCCTTTTTTGCGATGAATGAAAAAGGAAAATAAAACGAGTTATTAATTTATCTATAAATATATTTACAAAATATTCCAAGAGGCACATACGTATACATTGTAAACAATATAATCACAATATCAAGGCACATCATTGAATTCAAAATTTTCTAACTATTGAACTTAGGGAAGTCACATAATCGTCTGAAGCAGAGGTACATTGTACATTGTACTTACGACTAGGCACAAAATATACCCAACTACATTAAACTAGGTATATTTGGGGGAAAGGGATTGTTAGTAATGGAGACTGAGAATCCCATTGCTAGCAATATACCCAACTAGGTCGACTTCCTCGCGGTTCCCACTGGAAACTATCATGGTTAATTCCTGATAAATTCATCATGATGGGCTAACTGGCCTGTTTTTATTCTCATCAATCACCCTTCACTGGTGCTCCGCCATAAAAAAAAAAAACTAGGTATATTTAAATGTATAATCTGTTTTATACTTGGTATATTTAGTATAAAAGGTCATTTTTCACAAAGTAATTAATA